AGCTCCCGCGGCATGACGTCTCAATCCGGGTTACGGGTAGTGGAATTTCCGCTTACGTAAGTTCCGGAAACATGTAATATCGTAGTCAAAATGTTAATGCACAGGCTTTTGTTTCGGGTGAAGGATATTCCTTTTCATAGAATTCCGGGGATGGGAATATTTACTGTATTTGTTTCTCAGTTCGGTGTGTGTAAGCCAGTGGAGATGGTTCGTGACTTGAGAACAACCCAGCTCCATTTGCCTCTTGTGTGATATTATCCCTTTCCATCACAATTTTGAGAAATTTGATGGGGCACAGGCAAACAGATTCTGAGCCTATTGGGCATTTGTGTGGGTGTCTTCATATTTCATTCAGAAATATGACAACAACTGGCATGAAGCCCTCTGAATCAAGATAAAGTTCAATTAACTGAATGTATTATTATTATTATTATTATTGTTATTATTATTATATAACTAGAATGATTATTCTCCAACTGGCTGGCACGCTGCTATTAGAGGTGAGGAGGGTCACACGAGCGAATGGTGGTCGACAGGTCAAATGATGAAATTGTACGTTATCGTATAAAAAACACATTGCTTGCTGTCAACTTCTTTGAGTTGCACTACGCCGACAAACTCAGACATTGGCCCATTCAACCACCCCATGTTAGCACTGCCTCTCTTATGCTTATAAAAGGAGCAGAAGGATAACAGGACGCTGGATGACTTTGGTGCACTGAAAGCGACTGTCTCCCCTTTTGCAAAAGATAAACTCTGACTCTGGTTGCGTTCATTATCTCCTGCTTCGATTTGGTGCACGTCTTCGAAATAAATATCTGTGATTCTACTGAACAACCCTAACACAGGCCCCACCGATGTGCGGCACGAGGCGAGATTTTATATGGACGCCCCCCCATCGACAATTTACATGTACCTGTATGCTTAAAAAAAGAAGTCAAATAGGATAGCTCTTAACATTATTTAAATGTTAAGGAACTCAACAGTCAACTTTGTCACAATCACAACACTCCTGTTGTTAGTTTAAAAAGTCAGGTTTAATAACTATGTGCTGGTTTCATTTTCTTTGATAGGGTTTAGTTTATGGCTTTGAATTTGGTTTAGTTGTGTTTTCTATGTTGTTTTGGCCTGGGCTTACCCTGAAGCAGAGCTTTTTATGACATTTGTATTGTTTTCTATGTGTGGTAACAAAACCAATACTCAATACAACAATTCTTCCGTGTGGTCTCACTTTGTGCCGCATTGCTGAACCATACAGTCGGCTGCAACAGACCACCATCCTTTGGAAGTGGGGCCCACCTGCCAGCGCACACGATGACCAGGGGGGCAGAAGGGAGGAGGGATGACGGAAGGTCAGCGTCTGTCTCGAATACACCACAAATTAATGAATTTTAGGAAAGTGTTGCAGGCTGAGATAATTAACTGCGCAGCAATTTTGTTTTTCCTTCCCATAATGGTCGTCTGCATGTGTTTGTGAGGGCAGGTTGAAGTGCGGTGAGTCTTTTAGTGAGAAGGGCTGACAAAGCCTTGTGCATCTTTTGAGACGTTTGCCATAGTGATAGAAGGCGAAACCCCAGGAGGCCCCATTTCAGCCATTTACTGAAGCAAGGATTCCTTTCTTGATGCTTGATGTGATGTGCACCACCTGCTGGCCATGCGTGTAATTACAGCCAGGTGTTTCTTCACCACACGATGTGTCATGCTTGATGCAGATGATTTTGACGTCTGTTTTCACACACACACACACACACACACACACACACACACACACACACACACACACACACACACACACACTTATTTTGAATGCAGCCACTGCCTGATGGGCAAACGAGTCAGTTTAACAATCTGAAGCATTTCCCAAATCGGTCACGTGGTACAACAGCCAGCAATTCTTCGGTGGTCATCATTTACAACTCCTCCATTAAATGAAGCAAGCCTTGATATAAATGTTGCGGAAACGTATCCTTCTTTCCTAAATAAACTCTTCGAAGCCTCGACACGTCTCACAACATCACTACTTGGCCCTATTTATTTGGAAAAAAGAGTCAAAACCTTTTAAAATAGACCACACCGGTGACATCTTGTGGGCAGCTAGAGTCATAGCGTATTTTATTTTGTATTCCAACATTGTACCAATACAGTACATCCAGTCTGAAACTTGACTTGTGTCTGTCTTATGATCATCATTTACAGATGTAAGTGTTGCAAAATGTTGTCACTGTCCCAGTAGTTCAATGTCATGTCCTGTTACCAATACGATTTTAAAATAGACGTGATTTGGATGTGAAATAAGTGTGCTGTTAATCATGATGACAAGATTGCAACGTAATTCTGCGGTGATGATTCTGTGGGCTTTTTTCAGTAACTGTACCGGACCACAGTTACATTTTTTTTTTTTTTTTTTGTATTCTGAATACGTAAAACCGGTACATGTATTCCGTTATTCCGCAAGTGTGATTGGTACTGCATGGTTACTGCAGAGGAACGTGCGCCAGTATGTGATTAAAACAGCACAGGACATCTGCGGTGCATCTTGCTCCTCTCTGCGCAACATTTTACAACAGGAGTACCCAGAATACTATTGAGGACCGGATACACCCTCAAAATTCTGTGTTTACATTACTCCCCTCCGGGAGAGGCGACTGCAGCGTCAGGTCACATACAATGCGGCTCGCAATTGTTATCCACAAGCCATAAGAATCTTAAACAATTAGTGATTCCACAGATGCAACTGTTTAAATGCAGTGTAGTCTTAGTTTTTTTTCCAATTTAGATTGCTATAATTTTCATTAGGTAAACAAGCAAGCAAAAGAATGTCATTGCATAGTGAACAATGTTTTTTGCTGTGTACATGACAATAGAATTTCCTTGATTCCTTGATTGTGCACAATAGTCATACGTTCGTGGTCATCGGATGCCAGTTTTAAAGCATTACTGCGAAATGGGAGGCGAATGGACTGAAGTGTTCTCATCTACATTTAAGAGTATCAGATAGGGTTGTAAAATAGTACCTCGCTTTCGAAGGCTGCATTTTGTTAAGTTGTAAGTGAATGCTAGCTTCAATAGTTACCTGTCTATATAAAGCACAGTGGGCCCCCTACTATTGGCTCATGACCACTCCAAAGTCAACTTTGATACATTCCAGCTCATCTGAGACCCGAGTGAATAAAACTGCTCCAAAAGATGGATGGTGGATATGTTTTTTCATGTCAGTCTTCGGAGTTCCCCTTTGTGGGCATTTTTTTTTTTTTTTAACGCAACAGTGCTTTAACTCTTTTTTGTGTTACATTTTATAACTTTGAAAATAGTTAAAAAAAAATTGAAACCCAAACGCACAAAACAATGGAGCACTCACCAATGTGCAGTAACTCGAGCAAATCAATGGTACTTCTGCCAATAGATTGCTCAGAAATCCTTTGCTGCTGAAGGCAGCTTTTCAAAGACATGGTAGCAGAATTTGCGGGGCACATGCATTACTGTGAAAAGAGTATTTCAAAAGTAGGAAAACTGTTTGGAAATAAAAGGAACTCATTTGACCATTTTGACCGAAGCCCAGTACGGGATCGATATTTGTAATATTACATGACCAGCAGCGAGTTGTGAGCATATTTACGCCATCAGACGTGGCGGAAATGTGTGCGACTCTAGCTAATTGGAGTCCCCATTCTAACATTGGTTTGCAATTTGACATAAACCGAATCTGCCAATAAATGAAAGAAGAAGCAGTACTGGTACACAGAAAGTAATTGTAATTGTAACAACCAAAATGCGCAACTGATGGGCAGCCGTGAGATCCAAAGATGAAGCTATTCTGACAAGAGAAAGTTCCTCCCCTCGTGGTATCGCCAGTGCAATGTGGAGAAGGAAGCTGTTATGCATGGTATGTCGTCAAAAACAAGGCAATACAAGAAATCTGTTGAATTATTTGAACAGGTAGTGCCCAAGTGATCAAGTGGAAAGCATGAAAATGTGAGCAGTTTGCATAGCCTGCCCACGTAAACATCAGAAGTTTAGTCGCTAATAACTAGCCGGCGAGTATCGGATGAAAGCAGCAATCAATCATGTCATCGTTTGATCAGTCACATTTGCAAGTAGGACGCTAACATCCTATGTAGGATCATATCTTAAATTACTTACTCCGGTTTCCTCCCACGATCCAAAAACACACGTCGTAGGTTAATTGATCACTCCAGTTTGTCCCTGGATGTGTCGCTGCCCATCTTTAAAACTCATCTCAAAACTTATTTGTACTGTATTCTTTGGCTCAGCATGACTCAGACTTGATCTTAGTTTTACTGTTTTTGTGCTTTCTAATGTATTCATGATTAATTTATTGTTTTATCGTTTATTGTTGTATATGCGATATTTGCTCCACGTACAGCATTTTGTATAGAGCGGTGGTTGTTTCAAAGTGCTCCATAAATGCAGTTGAGTTGAGCTGAATTGAGTGACTGTGGGCACGAACGGTTGTTTGAGTATGTGTGCCCCGCAATTGGCTGGCAACTAGTTCAGGGTGTGCTATTTGTCCATATTTGAATTTGAACTCCTCTTTTGTCTTTTGCATTGTTGAACCACAAGCGACGGCCACGTTTGCGTTTCTTGGCCATGAATGCTAACATCACATTTTTATCAATTTTGGAACAGACATCATTTTAAATTTTTTTCAAAAAAAAAAAAAAAAAAGACCAACAAATATTTTGATGCAGACAGATTCCTTCATTTGCTGGAGAGATGCTCTTTGACGTTACAAATTGGTTGTCAGGAACAATTGTGGAATCGGGAAGAAAAGGAAAATTGATAGTAAACCCAAGAATACAAAGACACCATGAAAGTCTGATATTCACTCATTGAGTCATCATTGTGATGATGAGCTTCATTGTGACTGAAGTAAGATGAGCGATTAGTGGAAGACACGGTGCGCTTCCTTGATGCAAACATATTCATGTAACTCTGTACAACTTTCAGTTCGCCACTCTCCATCTGTAAGAAGCAAATGTTTTCGTATTACATCATTGTGTTTTTATCAAACGTCAATCACTGATTTCACTTACCTGTTTCATCCATCAGTACACAGACGTCACCAGTAGGATCGGGTTGGTCAGTATCAAAGTTAAGGAAATCCACAATGGTGCCATCAGTCCACATGAAATCACCATCCTGGAAGACCAATTGACTTTTCAATAAATGACACATGACAATAACATGACGATAGCTTGCATTTGCATCTGCTGTTTGTTTGGCACACCGGAATCTAATATAGATTGTGCGTGAACATTATCAGAATCATGCAGTCTCAATGATGAAACTGAGCCAAGCTGCAGTTCGAGGTAGGAGCGTGGACCAAAAGGTGATGAAATGATGGTTGGAGTGTTAAATGTACTGGACAATTTTTCCTGAAAGAAAAATGGATTAATTCACCAAGTTGAACTACTTCAAGGTCCTCTCTGTGCACATTTCACAAATGTCAAGATAGATGATGTGTTTCACTGTGTTTTCCCCTCATGAATTCCGAACAATGGAATGCTGAATACTCTCAAATGTCCGCCTTCAGCCCGTAAGCTGGTGACAAGGGTGAGCACACGTTCCTTTTCTCTGGCAAAAGTACTGAAATACAAGTGACAAAAAATATTTCTGCTGATTTACCAGAACTGAATCATGAAGTCCAACCCAGGCCTCTTCATCAGGATCATCCGGAGTACCAGCGACAATCAGTTGCTGAACAACGGCATTTTCCAGGTCACTGTGGATGGACACCAGATTCCCACCAAGAATGTTGCAGACAGCCTGGGAGGAGGGGTAAACACATAGATTTCAGTGTTCCAGGTATGCCAGGCAGTTGGCAAGATATTTTGGCTGTGGGCGGCCAAAATGTTCAATTATAAGACAGATGGTTCACTGCTTGTACAAGGAGTGAGCTATTTTCTTCCATACCTCTGCATCTGCAAAGGTCCTTTCTTCGGTTTGATAAACGTAACAGTTGCAGTCCAACAGAGTCCAGCCTTTAGGACAGAAAAGGTCTGCAGCACAATTGTTCCATAATTATTGATGTGTTTGCAGGTGAAAAAGAGACAATCAACTGTGGTGTCAATGAACTTGGAAGTAAAAAAGTATGACTGAGTCACAGCTACCAACCGTTGGATTTTTTTGAAGGGAAAGCCCACTGAAGAAGAAAAGCACGTGGTTTAAATAAAACTGAACATTGGAACAAATGAAGATACCCGTATATCAGACACCATTGTAAATCTATTTTGATTGAAGTCGGCAGGGTGAGATTTTGACTTACGACTCCAGTCAAGAGTCCACTGATCCCGCAAAGGAGGAACAACGAGTGAAGAGCAAATGCCATCTGTATAATATTGGAATATATTTTAGATTTCGAACACACACAACAACAACAAAAAAAACACAACAAGATCAAAAGAACGCAGTAAACGTTGAAAGAATGACATGAAATTGAAATTTGGAAATTAGGCTGTAGAATTTACCTTTGCAGTTGCGATGTCTGATACTGAGGACAGTCACGACATGCCCTTTTATTTGTTGGGTTGTCAGTTATGCATGGTCACGTGACATGTCAGATCAAGTCACACAATTAGAGCTTAATTCGCGATTGAAAAAAAAAAAAGAAGAAAAGAAAAAAAAACATTTGTCCTGTTCTGTCTTTGACAAACAGGTTTTGGGCCGGAGTGAGCCACTGGGAAACTATTTCCTGTACCGATGAGGGATATTTTAGTAATTAGTCTGTAATGGTGGCATGACAACAAGTTTGCACGTCAGGCTCACAGGTCAGAGGTTGTTGGCTTGTATCCATAATTCAGCCTTCCTGTGTGGGGTTTGCATCTTCTAACGCTTGCGTGTGCTTCCTCTGGGTACTCCAGAAACATGCACCCTGGGTGATGAAGACACAAAATCAGGGGTGGGCAAATCATTTTGCAAAGGAGCCGCATGAGAAACTGGAACGCTTGCCGAGGGCCGAGCCACTATTCTAACCTCAGCTTTGTCTCTATGATTTTTAATGTACTTCGAGAAAGCATATCGTCTCGTTTCAATGTATTGCTATGTGTCTTTTGCAGCTCCGAAAAAGGAGATCTGTAGTGTTGGTTTTTTTAAAACGTACACTTTATTAATGCTTTTAACAGTTTCAACAAATACATGCGCTTCTCTCTCGACTACGTGCCTGCTCTGTCATTCGGCTCGAGAGACGTTCAAAGACTGCCTCTGAAAAAAGTAAATTGAAGGATTACGTCAATGAAACAAAACAGATAATCAAGCGAGGAGATTGCAAAATAAATTCTAGAGGGGGTGTGAACACACAACAAAGGAATTAATATCATAAACAATTCTAAGACAGTCCAGTCTCCTACATGTCCAACTCATTTTTGCTGTTCGTACTAAGGTTCATTTGGAAGAATATCATTGACAGTGATGAATAAATTGATACAGAGACAACTTTTAATGCACCCAAGACATACAGAATATGAAACTATAGCTTGGCGTATGAACAGGTCAAATTTTCTTGGCCCTCTTCCCCACACTCTGCAGAAAATAAGAATGTTGCTGATGTTTCGGATCACTGTGGTCATTTGTTAGTCTAGTTTTGGGAAAAACAGTTGCTGAAAGGGTTGAAAAAGTCGCGTAATCTTGCGAAAACTTTGCTAAGTTGGCAAGAATTCAGACCCAAGTCTCTCGCTTGCTACTTCGCTGTACAAATGTAACAGGGCCAGTAAAAAAGTTGGGACTACTTACCATACAGCGTTATGATTAGTCCAATTCAATCAAAGCTGTTTAATGCCTAATTTTATATCTTTATGTGTGATGTCTGTCCCTGATAAAAAATTTGTGAAAGATTTGGAAACTCCTTACGTGTGTACCAGGCATAAGTCTGAACGTGTCATTAACACACACAAACACAGACGCAAGGGGACGTAAGGGCATAATTACAGTCAATGTTTCCATGGCAAACACTTTGAGGCCATAAATATAAAATAATTTAAAAACAGTCAGAAAGCATGTCTTCCTGTACAACGTGACAGCATATTCTAACGCCACTAGGGTAAGTGTCTCATGACTTTTTTCATGACTTTTCTGCTCGCTAGGTTTTTGTTTCCACCTGTTCTTGGCAGCAAGGTGCCTTGTGTCTTCCAGTCAGCTCCCTCCAGGCATGCACGTCTTGTCAGGGTACACCTCACTGTCTCATGCATTTCTGATTTTCAGATTTTTATTTTTATTTTTTTTACAGCAAATAATTAAGGTCACAGCTAACCTAACATGAAAAGCTTTTCAGCTTCGTCCCCCGCAATCACGGACGACTTCGCTCCAATTTAGAAGAACATTTTGAGGTTTTCCCTTTCTCCTCACCTGGTTAAACACTCGACAAGATCATGAATGGTCCATTACATACATAATTGCTGACTGAATAACCTAACATTGACTTTTCTAAATTATTGTTTTTCTATCTGCTTCTCATTTCATGCTTGATTGCTTTTTTTTTTTTGGCCTAGTTTTGAAAACTGATTTAAGGGAACCCCACTAGTCAAGCCTCTTGAAGGATTTGTGGGGCTTCCTTGGCATGACTGTCATTTTTCTCCCCCCATTTCTTGCATCTACGTTTGTTTTTGTTGTGTTCCAATGTATTTTTTATGTGCCTCAATAAATAAAACGGAAGTTTAATAGGGTAAAGCAGGAAAGGCAAAATTTCCTCAAAATAATTAGAAAAGCAATTTTATGTTGTGATCATTTGCACAATAAGTGACGATTTTTTTTAACGCGGCTGTGAATGCTGAGAGCACGCTTATTTTTGCTTTGAAGGTTTTTCAGGTCGAATAATTAAAAATTGTTAGAATCAAAACAATTTTTGACAGGTACCCTAAAAATGATGTGTCAAATAAAAGTGGGCTGTGTTGCATACGTAGTCGAACTTTTTAAAATTTTAAACCACTAAATTGACTGTGGAAGACAAACTAAATTAAAAACTTTGAAAAAAAAAGAAAAAAGCACACTCGAAACAGGACACACAGCACAAGTACACTTAATAACCTGAAGACAATTCAGCTGGTTTAGTTTCATACCAAAGAAACAAGAACAATTGTCTTAGCATAGGTGGCATTCCATCCTTTGTCTCTGAGCCAGGGAAAGACTTATGATGAGGGTGTATCCGTAATTATGAGGTAAAAGTGTTGAGGGACATAGGACAGCAACAGAACAAGTTTCTTTCTTTTCCAAGAATGATGATTGATAAATAAGCAGTGGTGTAGTGGGGATTTTTTAAGTGGGTGTACGCGATTCTGGGATGTTCTATATATACATACAGAACATCAATCATAGGGTACAACACCAGTTGAACTAACGTTAAATTTAATGTTTTACTACTCCAAAATAATCACAGGCCAACGTTATTCAGCATAACTCGCATTTGAACAATGATCAACAAACATTTCAATAAAAATTGAATGTGGCATCGGGAGAAGTGGGTGGACGGCGTACCCCCGCGTACCACGCCCACTACACCCCTGTAAATAAAAAATAGATAAAACAAGGCTCAAAATGACTTTTTTGTGTTGAGTACTTTTGCTAAGAGCGACACGGTGGTCAACTGGTTAGCACATCTGCCTCACAGTGCAGAGGTGCAGGGTTGGATCCCAGCTACGGCCTTCCTGTGCGGAGTTTGCATCTTCCCCCCGTACCTGTGTGGGTTTTCTCCGGGTTCTCTAGTTATCTCCCACATTCCCAAAACCTGCATGGAAGGTTCATGGAACAATCTAAATTGTCCCCAGGTGTGAGTGTGAGCGCGGATGGTTGTCAGGGTGTCCTCTTGCCTCTTGCCCGAAGACATCTCGGATAGACTCCTGCATGCCCGTGACCCTTGTGAGGATAAGCGGATTCGAAAATGAATGGAAGGATGGATGGATAGTTTTGCTCAGCAATGACTTCATTTGAGGTGCAACTTTCTTGTTTTGAGGAGAATGTACTGTATTTGCAGGTTAACTTTGGGATCCACTTTGGGATTCCGATTGTTGCAAAGTCACGGACCATTTTATAGAACTTAATTAAGAATGATAATGCATTTTTTTTGTTTGTGTGTTTGTTTAAAAATAGCCTCTGAAAATACATGTACAATATGCTACATTTTTATACTTGGTTTCAACTGTGTTAGACAAACCATCCAAAGCATATTGCTCGCCAGGGCATCCGTGGGCCAAAGCATGAGCTGCTCCGTATTTGTTTACAGAGTACTAGTGACTACAGGACAGGTGAGTAACATTTCTTGACGCTTACCGAATTTGGTATGTGCCATGTGGGCACATTGTATGCCTCAGTACTGTTGTGAAAAAGGCTTTATCCAAATGCATGCGATTTTTTTCCTAGTAGGCTGCAACCCACATAAAAGGGGTCCACAACCCACCAGTGAAGAAATCAAAATATCACAACAATAACAATATGACAATATAACGAATGAACACTTGGTTTCCTTTTTCTCTAATCAAAGTTGTTATTTTTCAAATTCGCATTGTGCATCGCAGCAAAAGAACATTTTCCATGAATCAATTTCAAAAACAAATACACCTTTCAGTTCCATTGTCGTGTTTCTGAATGACTTGTATTGTCCTTTCGCAAAGCTAATTTATTATCGTCCAAGCCGTTTATGTTCACGTAAGGTAGTAGGTGTGCTGGAGCCGATCTCAGCTGTCTTGGGGCTGCAGGCGGGGTACACCCTGAATTGGTTGCCAGCCAATCGCAGGAAACACATAGACGAACAACCCTCCGCGCCCCCAATCACACTTCGGGACACTATAGAGTGTTCCATTAACCTAGCATGCGACGTTTTGGAAATGTGGGAGGAAACCGGAGTATCCACGTCGGCACAGGGAGAACGTACAAACTGCACACAGGAAGGCCGGAGCCGGAATCGAACCCTGCGCCTCTGCACTGTGAGGCAAACGTGCTTACCAGTTGTCCACCGGGGATCTGATGCGGCCAGCACAATTTAGAGCTGAACTCACGCTCACACACTCTGAACTCAAGTGTGTACAACACCTTGTCATACAACATTTGTAGCAATAAAACCTGACAACAAACTAAGACCACCCACCCTCCCTTTGGCAGGATTAATCTTACCTTTTTCATCGGTCTTCTTTTCCCCACCTTGGAGGGACTGTGCTTGGGGGAAAACCAAAATACTATTTTTAATACTGTTCTCACAAATCAGCCTGATCTGTTTTCTTGTTTATGACATGCAGAAAGGTAACAAGGACAGCTCACTTGTCAACGGTGTGCAATCACTCAAAAACGAGGAAGTGATTACATGACCAATTCTGGTAAGGAAGTTAATTAAAGAGTCAATTGAAACACAGTGAGAACAAAATTAATGCTTTGATTGTGCACCCCTCCTTCCAACCTCTTTGCCAAGAATGTCAAATATTTTCCCGAAACTCAATCTTGAGTTGTGATCACAATGCAATGCTAAAAAGGGGACCAATTCTTCATCACCAGTATTGGTGACTTTTGTGACTCGAAAAAGACTAAACGAAAGGACAAATGACTAAATACATTTATATGAGGACTGAAAGGTCATTTCGAGTTTAGGTTTCACCAATGTTGGGAGACTGGGAACAGACATGGGCAACACGTGAAGAAGTTGTGCCATGAACCAGACACCGCAAATATTGTAAGGGAAAACATAATTTTGAGCAAAGAAAGTTTTTTTTTTTGGGTGATTCCTGTTTATGCTGACTATGTGTCTGATGAGGTATATTTAATTCAGATAGTTTGTAGTACTGTTTTAGCTGCAAGACAGGGACAGTTGCGAAAAACCTCTGAGGTAAGTTGTTTATTTATAAAATGTTACAGTTTAGCACAAGCTAAATTGACTGAAGGCATTAGAACAATTTGTTTTTTGTTTAAAAACGATTGTCTTAGCAATCCAACCATATTTGAGGAATGTGCGATAAAGGGCAGAGGAAAGCCGCTGTAGTGGATGTAGCGGTCCCAAGTGATGGAAACATCAAAAAGAAGGAACACGAGAAACTCGACAAATACCAAGGGCTCAGAGAGGAGCTGGAGAGAGCCTGTAAGGTAAAGGTGACAGTCGTGCCTGTGGTGATCGGAGCACCAGGGGCAGTGACCCCCAAACTAGATGAGTGGTTGCAACAGATCCCGGGAACAACATCAGACATCTCAGTCCAGAAATGTGCAGTGCTGGGAACAGCAAGGATACTGCGCAGAACCCTCAAGCTTCCTGGCCTCTGGTAGAGGACCCGAGCTGAATGGGGGACGGACACCACCCGAGGGGTGAGACGAGGATTTTTTTATTTTTTATTTTTTATAAAACTGTATTTTAAAAGTGAATTCACCAAAAGGTCGGTATAATCAGCCTCTGAATGTATTATTTTATATAATTTTGTGATCATACTCATCATTAATGTGAATGGTTTTCCGTTCCTCACAATTGCTAAAAATCCAGCAAAACTATCAGAATGAAAGTGGGTTTGCCGGGTCCATACGCGAAGTTACTGCTGGCTAGCTTGCACCCTGCTCAGTAGCTTGCACGCTTACTTTCTGCTGTCTCTCGCAGAGTATTTTGATGCGAACGTAGCATGGGGCGTGTCAAAGTGCCGCTTTACATTCGACCGCTTCATCGATGGTATTTTGTCATTGCAAATTAGACACACCGCATAATCTCTTCTCTCCACAAAGGCGAATCCTTCGGTCCATTCGTTCTTTTTGCCATCTTATTCGTCAAAGGATTAGCTTTGAGCTAATGAGCGAGCGGGCTGATTCAAAAGGGGGCATTGACCTGTTTACCCAGCAACAGCTAACGAAGGCCAGTATCATCCAATTAAAATTGCTCCTTCTGCCAACTGCAGCCCTGAACAGTACGTGAGCAGTGAAAAATCGATGGATGGATTAAACAAGCGAGAATATTTTGCTTTATCTGTGATCCAGATGAATCATCATCAAAAGAACCACACCTGGCTCGCAAGACATAGGTTCCCGACCCCTACACTAGAACTAATAAAGCAGGAGATGTGGCCTGATAATCTGAAATGTTAATTCAGCTTGGCAAAAAAAAAAAAATTTAGCTAGTGCACAGCGACACATTTTATTATCATAAATGTCTTAATATTTTTATAGTTTAAGTCCCGTATACTCTGCAGAATCAACTACATTAAAAAGTACTGTGAAAATGGGCACTGGAACATGGCATGCAGGCTGACAATACATTGACCCTAAAAGGAGAAGATCGTTGAACCAGACATATTGCATACCAACAAAAGAAGCATAATTGTCTTCATTGTAGAAGGTATTGTTCTATCCTTTTCTCTCTGACCTAATGTTAGATCCATGATGATGGGTGTGTCATCAATTATGACGTAAAAGTCCCTGATCCTTCATCACAATAATTAGTTAGTCTATTTTTCAGATTCCCTTCCTGGTATCTGATTTGTGCCATAACTGAAAGGTGACACAAAACAACAAAAGCCAATCCAAGCAACTTTCTTCTTTCTTTTTATATTTCTTTCTTTCATGAAATAAATAATAAAAAATATGAAATCATAAACAACAGTAGAACCTCGATTTAACAGACAAATAATGGAATGGTCGTCCATTTGCGCTGATTGTCTTTACCCAATACGGTACAAAATTATTATCTCGCTCTGTTTTTGTGGCCTAAAAATGCCCCGTACTGTCCAAAATGATTGTAAATATTAAAAAAGCTGGCGGCCCGGTGGTCCAGTGGTTAGTGTGTCGACCTCACAGTGCAGAGGTGCAGGGTCTGATTCCGGCTCCGGGCCTCCCTGTGTGGAGTTTGCATGTTAACTCCGTGCCTGCGTGGGTTTTCTCCGGGTACGCCAGTTTCCTCCCACATTCCAAAAACATGCATGGCAGGCTGATTTCCTTTTTTCACCCCACGAGAGAGGGGAAAGACAACTGCCCAGGACAGGATTAAAGATGGCATGTTCGAGAGAAGTGCGTGTTACTACATGACTAGATCGGGCTTCCTTAAACATACAAACATGAATATGAAAAAGTAGATATCACACACTCCTTGTGAGCTGTGCGTCCACGGCGATTTGAAACTAATGTCCATGTTTTCCATGACCATCTCTGGGCCTGCAGGGTTTGATTGCAGGCCTTCCTGTGCGGAGTTTGCATGTTCTCCCTGTGCTTGCATGGGCTTTCGCTGGGTGCTCCAGTTTCTTCCTACATTCCAAAAACATGCATGGTAGGTTCATGGAACAATCGAAATTTCCTTTAGGTGTGATTGTGAGCGTGGATGGTTGTTTGTCGATGTGTGCCCTTCGATTAGCTTGTCCCCTGCCAGTTGGGATAGGCTCATCAGCAAAGGTGAGCATTTACCCCTGTTGTCACCTGCCCGTCAGTACGGACAGAAGTTCCGTGGGTCCGTCACTGACTGACTCCCATTTTTGCTAGCGGATTGACGACTGACACTCCACAACTTTGAAACTCTGAAAAGGAAAGACGAGGTGCAGTTTGGGGATGAGAAGCATTCGGAGCAGCAGTAATAGTATAAGCATTTATCGTTTGTCTGTTTTTTTTTATTTTTTGTTTTTTTTTGTGTGTATAAAGTGTAAACTAAATACAAGTTTGCTGTTCCCCTTATCAACAGTTTTTTTTTTTTTTTTTTTTTTTTTTTTTTTACTGAGGGCCCTCAAACAGCATTGACATTGAATTCTGTCCGTCAGACCGGAAGACCAATTAGTGCAACCAACAGAAAGAGGCTCATACTTACGCACAGGATTTGGTGGGATTTCTAATTGAGGCATTTAAAATAACAAGAAAACAGTGTTATCATTAGTATACATTTTATTTACAGTATTATAGCTTACAAAAGTAAAAAAAAAAAAAAAATGCAAAAAGCACACATGCACCACCCACACACACTCGTGCACGCACGCCTACACATACACACACACACACACACACACACACACACACACACACACACACACACACACACACACACACTTGAGGAGTTCTGCAACGAACATGCAGCTGAAGATGTAAACAGCTCCTCATCAAACTCCAGGACCATGTTTGTGACTGCTGTACAAGAGTCTGACTCCTCATTTTGGTCAGTGGGTGCCCCAGCAACACCAAAATATTTCAGAATTTCCCTTGAATTTACAATTAAGATATAATATGTGCTGTATGCTAGATCACACCGACATCTTATATGGATCAGTTAGCAAATAAAATGACCATCATGTATATTTTATTCACATCTGATTCATTAAAAATAGCACACAAATTATTTAAGGTATTTCACACGTACCTTACAAAACGCCATGTACTAGAAATGATTTAACTTAGCATGTAGCGTGTAGGAATAAAAAAAAAAAATGTTCACAGTCAGGGCGTCTGTGTCACTTTGCACTGATGTTGCAAACACAAACTAGATTAGGTTACCTATGGGTGAAATTACTTGCACGACATGATGCTTCAATTCTAGTCATTGCTAGTGCTGCAAATCTAGATGGAAAATGCAGCCGTCGTCAGTGGCATCGCACAGATTAGCAAGAGGCTCATAAATAGCCCACTGTCACTCACATCACTCACAGAAATCTGCATACTTTTTTCTTTTGCCTTTTTCTCCTCGTCTTTTCTTCTTTTTCAAAACAGGGCAACTATTGGCTTCTTAGAACTCTTTCTTTGATCTTCACTTCGGTCTCACTATCATAAGATGATGGCCATGACATTCCGCATAACCTTTTGCCAACAGCGCTCGTTCACCCGTCAATCAACAGGAGGACGAAGTCACGTGGTGTGAACATAGATTGTAAGTATTTATTTATTTATTTATTTTTTCATTTTCCACATAACCCAATCAATCAGGCCGATGGGTCTATGTTCAATATGAAATCTAATTTATTTGGAAGCAGTTTGTGTTGTGTGGCCTAGTATCAGTTTATCTCTCGGCCTCCTCCCTCTTGCGATCTGTCACCACCAGAGGCCGTGAACATTAATCGTTTCCCGGTTGCAGCAGTGTGTATTATTTGACGAGTAGTAGCCCATTTACGTGCAGTAAAATCTTTTTTAATTAAAATAATGTATGGATGGAAATTTTTGTTTTAAATGTAAAAAAATAAATATATAAACTGTAGCCTGAAGTTTAATGGCAAAACTGGGTGTCAATTTTTGCTCAGCAGGGTAATCAGCATCTGCTGAACAGAACCATTCAAGAAACTCGTCATCTCACTTGACTATTTTTAAAATCAAGTCCATGGAATCTGTGAAGTAACGGATTATTTTTACAACCAAGTAACACGTAAAGTAACTCAGTTATTTTTTCAAAGTAAGTCTTTCAAAGTAACTGTGGCAACACTGTTTACACCCGTACAAAGAACCGCCGGTGTCTGTTTTGTTTTGAAGGAAGCTGGAAGGTTTACAGTACTTTCCAAATATGCAGTTTTCTGAACTCAAACAATGAGAAGGAAGCAGTTTGTGTTGTGGTGTAAGAATTCATGGCCACACAATACAAGACGGCATGCTCAGTTACCGACGTGGTTGCTGTTCTGACCTAATGCCAGACAGTGCTGCCTGACTTGCCTACAATTTTCTAAAGACAAAATGTTCCTTTATTAGTCCGAGTTAATTTCCCAGTGACTCACTCAGGTCCAAAACGTTTTTGGCAAAGACAATAAAACAAATAATGGTTCTTTGTTTTGTTTTGTTTGGCTACATGACTTCCTTAAGCGCTCATGATGGCCATTATGATGTGTCATGTGACACAGACATGACATGCCACATTCCACCTTCGAGCATATAAAAGGAATCGCTGTCATCCTCAAAATCCAATCCAATCCAATATCATCACTGCAAAGGTAAGTTTACATCTTACTTTTCAAACTTCACAAGCCTTATTCGGCATGTACTGTGTTGTTCTCTTTTAGATGGTGAGATTTAAATGTCATACTGATATTGATTTATCGTATTTTTGTAAGTATTTTTCTTTCATTGCACAGATGGCATTCGCTCTTCGATTGTTGTTCCTCGTTTGTGGGATCAGCGGACTGTTGACCGGAGCCGTGAGTCCAAATTTCACCCACTCACTTATATAAACAAATAAATACATGTTTTATTGTCTTTAATGAACTGGTGACTTCATGTGTGTCAGTATTTTGAAATTCATTTTTACCAATGTCATTTTCTTCTTTCACAGTGGTCTTTCCCAAAGATTCAGGCCAAAGGTAGCTTTGACTCTTTTTATTTTTTTCAAATGAGCAAATGTAGTTTTGTCATAATTGACGTGAGATTGATTGACGGATCTCGTTTTCTTCCTCAAACAACAATTGCGCTGCAGACAATAACTGTCCCAAAGGCTGGACCCGGTTGGACTGCTTCTGTTACATCTTCCAACGTGATCCGAGGGACTTTGCAGATGCCGAGGTATGAAGAATATACTTCAAACATAGTTTAAAGCTATCACAATCCGCGATTTGTCGGTCTGTGGATTGAACACTTTGGTACAAAGCCAAAATGTCTTGCCTTCTGTAAGATGGATTTGAATGAGTGACAACAACTTTTTCCTCTCCTTTTCCATCAGAGCGTCTGCAACATTTTGGAAGGGAATCTGGTCTCCATTCACAGTTTCCTGGAAAATGCCTTTGTTCGTGAACTGGCTGCAGCGGGTGGGAACGATGACCAAATCTGGATTGGACTCAACGATGCGCTGCTGGTGAAAACTCTCACTTATGTTCATGAGAGATGTTTTTGCCACAAAGAAAATGAATGCGTCCTCCAGAATCAGTCTTGTCACCAGATTAAGGGATGAAGTATTGACTAGCCCCCTGAGAGGAGAACGCACAGAGCAATAGCTGGCGCAACCTCGATGTTGACATTGAAGTATCCACTGGGAAGACTTGAGTTCAGCCTTGGTACACAATCAATCCTTACTTCAGGATAGTTTGTGCTTTTTTTTTTCAACAGACCAAACACCTGACCTTGCCCTCCCCACTTATATATCAGTGTGACATCAAACACCAGTTTCAGAATGATACTCAATGATTCAAATAATGTTGAAAGATAATCAAGATAGATTGTGACCAACAAAAAGCAGATGCAAATTCAAGCAAGAGGTATCTTTACATATGACTCATTCAGTTTGACTTTCGCTTCCAGGCTACAGACTACATATGGACCGATGGCACAGTTAATGATTTTGAAAACTTCGATCAGACTCCTCCTCCTGACAATGATGATGATTGCGTGCAGCTTGTTCAGAGCGGTAAGTGAAATCATTGATTAGAGTTGCCAAGAATACGATGCTGTTATACTGAAATATATTTCTCCTACAGATGGACAATGGCGAACCGATGAATGCACAGAGGAAGAACAATATGTCTGCATCAGAGATGTGAAGCACTAATCACTCCCTGCCACCCTGTTGTTGCAACGGGGTTCGCTTATCATAATGACTCAGTAAAATAAAAATGTCATTGTGTCTGAGTATGCAATCAATTCTCCTTTCCTTCTTCCACAATGCTTAATTCTTATTGTCTGGTAAATGAAGGAATCTTTCTACATCATAATATTTTGGGGTCTTTTTTTCATCACTCTATTTTAAACCTGCTCGGTTTTTTTCTCATTCATTTCACATTTTTATGATGAAGTTACGGTAACTATACATGGACATTGGTCAACAAAATGCTCACTGGTGTCAATTAAAGGGTCTGTATCATGCTATTTCAAGTTTTCCTCAGTTACTATATGATTGTATATCACTTTTGGCAAAATGGCGACCTAATTTCGAATGAAAGCCTAGTTATTTTGGAGGATAATTTTCAAACCCGAAAGTAAGACGCTTGGCTCATGAAAACCCCACCTCTCCATGTGTGGCTGCCGCGGCCCCTTTCATGACATCGTCCCTTTCATGACATCACCCTGCAGTCGGCTGCTGTGCATCTCATCCACGAAACAGTAACATGTCATCATGATGGAACATGTTTGAGCCTTACGTTCTCTATCCAGAGGTTTTATACAGTATTGATGTTTATTTTTTTTATACAACACAATAGGTCTGACATCATACTTGACAACGAAGCTAATGCTAATGCATTAATGTGAATATTATGTTCTCATTGAGCTAGTGGGTTGATTTAATGACAGCTGTGGCCTCTTCAGCAGGTCTGATTGTGGTAATTGCACCACTTTTCAGGGACGATCTCCTGGCCAATCCACTTTTTCTCCAGGCCGAGGTTCACCAGGCAGTCCTATGAGAAATGATAATCACAGATAAACAGCTGCTGAATGGTGTGTCACTGGGGAGGCCAGCGCCTCGGCCCGAGGTGCGCAGAGTGCTGCTTTCGCTTATCGGGTGTCACTCTGGCTTCTTAAGAAAGTGGGCGTGTGTTAGGTCTGCAGGGGCGGTACAGAGTGGCTCCTCAATTTCCGATGTCAGTGGTCCCCAACCCCCGGGCCGCGGACCGGTACTGGGCCGCACAGAAAGAATAAATAACTTGCATTACTTCCGTCTCATTCATTTCGAAATCTGAAAAATGACCGGATTCTTTGTTACATCCGTCTACAGTATGTCACTCTTGACGTAGGTCAAGGCGCGCTTTTCGGTCACGTGATAGGTTACCGCTAAAATGAAACCCGGGAGCTAGCAAAATTAGTAAAAAAATAATGTCTTTGGAAAGGGGAAATGGCCCGGCCGGCCTGGAGACAGAAGAGGAGCCTAGGACTTTCAAGAAAAAGAAGGCTACATTTGATTGACAGTATCAGGATTTCCTACTTTAAATACGAATTTCTCTCAACGGGAGATTCCAACGCACCTGTTATGGGTAGCAAAGGTAATGACGTTAGAGAATCAAAAAGCGAAGGAGATGGGGGAAGGATGGGTGCAGGGTCAAGTGGTCCGGGGAGGAAAACATGGAGCCAGGCTGGGCAGGGAGCAGAGGCGATTGCTCTAACTCTGCAAGGGAAGCTCAGCTTCCCCTAAAATGTCAAAAAATAAGTGATCATATACATGTGCAATTGTGTGTACATGCCATTGACTAAATATGCGCTACAACGAACTCAACTTTTATTGTGGTTACGACGTGACTCTCTTGTCATTCATTCCCACAGCTTCACTGTGCTTTAAACTATGTGGACGCTGAGCGTCTACAGCGCGGACGCTGGGCGTCTAGAGCAGGGGTGTCAAACTCAGGTCCTGGAGGGCCGCTGTCCTGCATGTTTTCCAAGTCTCCCTGTTGCAACACACCTGATTCAAATGAACAGGTTCAATGTCAGGCTTCCACAGAGCTTGCTGATGATCTGATCATTTGAATCAGGTGTGTTGCAACAGGGAGACTTGGAAAACATGCAGGACAGCGGCCCTCCAGGATCTGAGTTTGACACCCCTGGCCTAGATACTACTCGTAATGCGTGAATCATCTGGCACCCGTTTGCAGATCAGCAGAGCTCTTAAACGCAGGAGCTGATTGCTAATCAGCTTGCAGGTGTGGGAGCACCCTTCGGCCCAGCCTGGTAAGTAAAGGGAAAAAGACAAAGAAGGTCCCAGGAAGTGGACTCTCCAAAATAAAAGCGCAGAAGGAAGAGGAGACAGACCGAGCCCACTCTGGGTTATATGTGGTGATGGTGAGTCGTATTTTTTTATTGCAATCTGTACAGTATTTGCTGTGTATCTTATTTTGAAGGCATGTTTCAACGTTACCATAGCGACCAAAGAGTGCTGAGGCCAGATAGGACGTTCCTCGTGTCATGATTCCCCTTCAACATTGTTCTTCAGTGTTTCTCTCTCTGTGAAACCTTGCAAGGCCATACTGCTGAATAAATGCTTTGTAGTAATATAAGAGTCAATGTGGGATCACTTTGTGTACATTTATTCGATCAAATTTTCAGTCGACAGGGAACTGGCAAAATGGACGCTCCCTGAGATGGACAAAAAATGGGTGGGTTTTACTGCTCGTGATGCTGCATAGAACATATTATTGCGATGATTTCTTTTGGGTTGACTGCCGGTTTCAATTGGCTTTGTGAAAGTGACTGACTTAAAATCTTTACTATTTTAGATTCATCATTAACACATAACCAAAGAAAATAATTTTGGTGTGAACCAAGGCCAAAACGGCAAACAAAACATTTCTTGCTGGTAAAGTAACACTTCATACAGGATCTTAATAACCTCAGGATTTATGAAACAAAAAACATAAGCTATTATCTTCCTCTCGAACACAATAAGAGTGAGGACAGAAACACAAATGGCCATTCACCCCGACCTCAGACAGCACACAGCTTAAAAACATTTCTGACAGGTGTGGCTGGTTGGAAGTTGACATACCATCAGGTCATGTCAGCTAATAAAGGGGGTCAAGCCTCTGGTGCCACTGTTGAAGGGAGCCGATGATCAACCCCAATCAACCTTCATGACCACAAAAGTAAAACCACCTGCACAGATTTCACAGCAGATACGACGGAACCAAAGACTTCATACCATAGTCGTCACATCCAAGAATGCTTACGTGTATGTAGGGCGCTGCACTCGGTTTACAGTACGTTCCAAATATGCAGTTTTCTGAATACAAACAATGAGAAGGATGCAGTTTCTGTTGTGATATAAGAATCCGTGGCCACGAAATACAAGGAAGCACGCTCAGTTACCGGCATGGTTGCTGTTTTTCCTAAAAATAGAGTAATTTTGACCTAATGATAGACTACAGTGCTTCCTGACTTGCCTAGATTTTGGCTTCAATCAAGTGTAGTGTTGTCATAGAATTTTCCGAAGACAAAATGTTCCTTTATTAGTCCGAGTTAATTTCCCAGTGACTCACTCAGGTCCAAAACTTGTTTGGCGAACACAGAATCAAGGAAATAAAGGTTCTTTTTTGTTTATTTTGTTTTGTTTTGTTGAACTACGTGACTTGCTCAAGCTCTCATTATAGTCATTATGATGTGTCATGTGACACTGACATGAGATGACACATTCCACTTTTCAGCATATAAAAGGAATCGCTGTCATCCTCAAAATCCAATCCAATCCAATATCATCACTGCAAAGGTAAGTTTACATCTTACTTTTCAAACTTCACAAGCCTTATTCGCCATGTACTGTGTGGTTCTCTTTTAGATGGTGAGATGTAAATGGAATACTGATGTTGATTGTTCGTACTTTTGTAAGTATTTTTCTTTTGTTGCACAGATGGCATTCACTCTTCGACTGTTGTTCCTCCTTTGTGGGATCAGCGGACTGTTGACCGGAGCCGTGAGTCCAAATTTCACCCACTCACTTATATAAACAAATAAATACATGTTTTATTGTCTTTGATAAACTGGTGACTTCATCTGTGTCAGTATTCTCTCGTCTAATTTTTACCAATGTCATTTTCTTCTTTCACAGTGGTCTTGGTCTTTCCAAAATATTCAGGCCAAAGGTAGCTTTGACTCTTTTTATTTTTTTCAAATGAGCAAATGTAGTTTTGTCATAATTGACGTGAGATTGATTGACGGATCTCGTTTTCTTCCTCAAACAACAATTGCGCTGCAGACAATAACTGTCCCAAAGGCTGGACCCGGTTGGACTGCTTCTGTTACATCTTCCAACGTGATCCGAGGAACTTTGCAGATGCCGAGGTATGAAGAAAATATTTCAAACATAGTTTAAAGCTATCTCAATACGCGATTTGTCGGTCTGTGGATTGAACGCTTTGGTACAAAGCCAAAATGTCTTGCCTTCTGTAAGATGGATTTGAATGAGTGACAACAACTTTTTCCTCTCCTTTTCCATCAGAGCGTCTGCAACATTTTGGAAGGGAATCTGGTCTCCATTCACAGTTTCCTGGAAAATGCCTTTGTTCGTGAACTGGCTGCAGCGGGTGGGAACGTTGACCAAATCTGGATTGGACTCACCGATGCGCTGATGGTGAATCCTCTCACTTATGTTCAGTCGAGATGTTTTTGCCACAGAGAAAATGAATGTGTCCTCCAGAATCAGTCTTGTCACCAGATGAAGGGATGAAGTATTGACTAGCCTCCTGAGAGGAGAACACACAGGACAATATCTAGCGCAACCTCGATGTTGACATTGAAGTATCCACAGGGAAGACTTGAGTTCAGCCTTGGAACACAATCAATCCTTACTTCAGGGTAGTTTGTGCTTTTTTTTTTCTTTTCAAAAGACCAAACACCTCACCTTGCCCTCCACAATTATTTCTCAGTGTGACATCAAACACCAGTTTCATAATGACACTCGATGATTCAAGTATTGTTGAAAGATAATCAAGATGGATTGAGACCGACAAAAAAAGCAAATACAAATTCAAGCAATAGTTTTCTTTACGTGTGACTCATTCAGTTTGACTTTCGCTTCCAGCCTACAGACTACATATGGACCGATGGCACAATTAATAATTTTGAAAACTTCATTGCACCTCCTCCTGACAATGATAATGATTGCGTGGAGCTTCGTCAGAGTGGTAAGTGAAATCATTGATTAGAGTTGCCAAGAATACGATGCTGTTATACTGAAATATATTTCTCCTACAGATGGACAATGGCGAACCGATGAATGCACAGAGGAAGAACAATATGTCTGCATCAGAGATGTGATGTACTAATCGCTCCTTGACACCTTGTTGTTGCAACGGGGTTTGCTTGTCATAATGACTCAGTAAAATAAAAATGTCTTTGTGTCTCTGAGTTTGCAATCAATTCTCTTTTCCTTCTTCCACAATGCTTAATTCTTATTGTCTGGTAAATGAAGGAATCTTTCGACATCAAAATATTTTGGGGTCTTTTTTTTTCATCACTCTAATTTAAACCTGCTCAGTTTGTTTCTCATTCATTTCACATTTTTATGATGAAGTTGCGGTAACTATACATGGACATTGGTCAACAAAATGCTCACTGGTGTCAATTAAAGGGTCTGTATCATGCTATTTCAAGTTTTCCTCAGTTACAATATGATTGTATATCACTTCAGGCACATTGGTGATCTAATTTCTTATGAAAGCCTTGTTATTTTGGCGGCTAAGTTTCAAACCCGAAAGTAAGACGCTGCCGCGGGCCCTTTCATGACATCGCCCTCCAGTCGGCTGCTGTGCATCTCATCCACGAAACAGTAACATGCAATTATGATGGAACATGTTTGAGCCTTATGTTCTCTATCCAGAGTCTTTATACAGCATTGATGTTTTTTGGGGTTTTTTTTTATACAACAAACTAGGTCTGACATCATACTTGACAACGAAGCTAATGCTAGTGCATTAATGCTAATGTTATGTTCTCATTTATCTAGATTGATTTAATTACAGCTGTGGTCTCTCCAGCAGGTATGATTGTGATAATTGCACCACTTTTACTTTACACTTTTACTTTGGCATCCCTTCACTGGCTCCCTATACATTTTAGAGTTATTTTCAAGATCCTATTATTTGTTTTCAAATCTCTAAATGACATCGCGCCACCTTACCTCTGTGAGCTCATCCGCCCCTACACACCTGCCTGGCGCCTCAGGTCTGTGGACCAAACATTATTAGCAGGACCAAGAACTAAACGGAGGCTCAGAGGGATCGAGCCTTTTCCGTTGCTGGTCCCTCTCTCAGGAATGACCCTCCACTGAACATTCGGCAAGCCTCCTCGCTGCCCATCTTTAAAACCCTCCTCAAAACTCACTTGTATTCTTTGGCATTTGACTCAGCATGACCCAAATTATGATCTTCGTTGTATTGCATGGTGTTCTCTACCGTCTTTGTTACTGATTTGTTGCTTTGCTTTACCGTTGTATATGTTAGTTGCTCCATGTACAGCACTTTGTGTGCAGCGATGTCTGTTTGAAAGTGCTCTATAAATACAGTTGAGTTGAGTTGAGTTGAGACTTTTCAGGTGTGATCTCCTGGCCAATCCACTTTTTGGCAGTACAAGGTTCCCCAGGCAGTCCTATGAGAAATGATGATCACAGATAAACAGCAGCTGAATGGTGTGTCGCTGGGGAGGCCAGCGCCACGGTCCGAGGTGCTCATAGTGCCGCTTTCTTGGATACGCTTGTCGGGTGTCACTCTGGCTTCTTAAGAAAGTGGGAGTGTGTTAAGTCTGCAGGGGCGGCACAGGGTGGGTTCTCAATTTTCGACGTCAGTGGTCCCCAACCCCCGGGCTGTGGACTGGTACCGAGCCGCACAGAAAGAATAAATAACTTACATTACTTCAGTTTTATTCATTTCAAAATCTGAAAAATTACCGGATTCTTTGTTACATCCGTCTACAGTATGTCACTCTTGACGTAGATCAAGGCGCGCTTTTCGGTCACGTGATAGGTTACCGCTAAAATGAAACCCGGGAGCTAGCAAAATTAGTAAAAAAATAATGTCTTTGGAAAGTTTCTTTGGGAAGGAGAAAAGGCCCAGCCTGGAGACAAAAGAGGAGCCTAGGACTTTCAAGAAAAAGAAGCATCAGGAATACTACTTAAAATACGGATTTATCTCAACGGGAGATTCCCACGCATCAAGCTCACTCTGCATAATAATGTTAAAAGCAGCCAGCACCACAACCGAAGCCAGAAATAAGCCTTTGCTTCAAGGGATGACGGCAGCATTGGACCCTCATTAAAATTAGTCATTTCATTCTGAAAGCCGACCAAAACCCTTCAAATTCGAAGTCTGAATCACTGAAATGATCACAGTGATTTACACTCCTCTTGTTTTTCCAATCTACTCTGTTTTGCTTTGCTTAATTGTTCAACTTCGATGAGAAAATAACACTAAGCAATCAAGGAAACAGTAGCAAAATGATGACATTCACGTAATTCACGTGTGTGTGTGTGTGTGTGTGTGTGTGTGTGTGTGTGTGTGTGTGTGTGTGTGTGTGTGTGTGCGTGCGTGTGTGTGTGTGTGTGTGCCTGCACCCCAAGTATCGAAGGCGTTGGACGAAATAATATGCGAATGGCAACACACCGAAGCTGGAATCTGAGTGGACCAAAAACAAAAAAAATAAAATGACATCAGTACATACTCAAGGTGACAATAAAGAACAAAGACGACTACAGACCAGTTTCTATTGTACCAAATGGTTGCGAATCAATTGAATCTGGTGCAGACAGTACACCGGGTAAACTGTCCAAAAGCAGTAAATCCACACATGGGTACAATTGACTTTCTTGGGCAGCACTATAATGTCATTTTTTTTACAGGATGAGGATGTCTACCACTCACATACAACATTCAACTAAAAGAAGATGCGAAACCAGCGATCAAGGAGAGTTCCAGCTCCACTCCAGGAACGCCTCAAAAAGGAGCCTGATAGAATATGTGTCAATTCAAGGTCTTCACGAAAGTTGAAAAAACCAACTGAGCGTGCCAACTCAACAGTATGTGTGGAAAAGAAGAACAAAAATTGAGTATTGAGAATACGCATTGATGAGAATACGCAGGATTTCAACCAAAGCATAAACCGTGAACATTACCAGATACCGACGCGTGAGGAGATTGCAAGTGAGATGTTTGGAGCCAAATGCTTCTCAAAGCTGAATGTATTAAAGACATTGAAAATACAATAGGGACATGTGAAGCATGGCAAAAGTCACCAGAATAAAACAGGAGGGAAACCATGATAATTCCCAGTCTTCCCATTGCACCTTGGAAGAAAGTAGGAACAGACTTGTTTCATTGTAATGGAAAGGACTTTTTGCTCGTGACAGACTATTAATTTGAACTTCCCTGAGATTGCTCTACTCACGAACGCAACCGCCAACAATGTCATCACTCATGTCAAGTCAATATTTTGCTGACATGGGATACCAGAAAATGTGCATATCATCAAACAGCTTCTGAAGTGTCTGGATTGTGGCTTATCTACGGCAGAACTGTTGATGAATCGCAACGTACGCACAACAGCTCCTATCCGAAGGTGAAGCAGGATGAGGAGACAAAACTGGAAAATCTTCAATGGAAACAGAAATAATTCATCTGGCAGGTGATGTGTCTGAATGATGTGATATTCAAGTTTCAAAAGTTAGCCAAAAAAATTATAATAATAATTTTGATGCTTTCGGAACAATATTTATGTAGTTGTAGCCACATTTTTCATGTGTGATGTGTATTTATGGCCTCACAGAAAGGCGGAAGTGCTGATATTTAGTGTCAACGGTTGAACAGCAGAGGGAACTGGCGGCACAGGTTGTGGGATGGCAGTGGAAGAAGAGAGCAGGAACAAATGTGTGGTGAGTGATGAGGAATCAGTAAGAAAAGTACAAGCGCATGCTGGCTGTTAAAAATAACTTGACATCCGGATCAACTACGTAAGTTAATTTCACAATCAAAGTGAGACATATTTTCAAAATGGATCACAATGGAGTTCACGTTTCAATGGAAACTCCACGATCCAGAAATTAGGGCCACCTTTAGACTTCACTGAATCACGCCTATTTGGTGCTTGCTCACAAATTTCCTGTCAGAGGTCAAGACAGGAGAATCGCTGCACCTTATAAGTACACAAGCCAGGTGCATAAAAAAAAACAAAAAACTTCAGTGCCCTTAAGTACAGGTACTCAATGTTACACCTCCTTACTTTATGCTAGTGACAAGACTGAATCAATAGTAGACATTTAATTTGTAAGTGACAAAATGCTTCGGCCTATAACAGACAAAAGTGACAGGATTCATCATGTTTGTGCTGGTCAATGTTCCGTAGGGTTACCACATTTTGATTTCCAAAAAAAGAGGACACTCAGCCCGGTCTGAAGGGACTGAAATGATACTCAAAGTTCACTCCAAGATGTCATACATCACAACTCCGATATTTAGTCATTAAGGCTGCACGATATTGGAAAAATATGCAATGTCCGGTATGGCTGTTGCATATTGCAATATTGATATTATTGCAATGTACATGAAGAAATGAAATCAGTTTTTAAATGATATATCTTTTTTCATGCAGAATAATAATAATAATAATAATAATAATAATAAGGCCCAATGTATTCTTATCAAATGAAGTTAGTGTTAATGTTCCTCGATGCTGCTCAGTTAGATGACAATGTGCATTTGACAATGTGCATTGAGGTTGAGTCTGATTGGTCCAAGTTAGATGAAAGCATACTATTCCATATGAATTTTTTACCCATCTTTTGCATTCTGCACTGCAGGTGCCATTATCACAATTACAGTGATCCCTCGCTATTTTGCGGTTCGTTTATCGCGGATTCGGTGCATCGTGGATTTTTTCAGACATATTCATAAAAAAATTTTATTATTTTTTTTTCCATATACATGGAGTACAGTACTGTATATGTTGCTCAATGTGACTCGCTGTTGTTTTGCAGGTTCTCCCGGACTGTTTGCGGACCTTTTGCGGACTTAAAAAAAGAAAAAAAAATTTTTTTTTTTTTTACCAGTGTATGTTAATTGGTCGCTACTTTGCGGATTTTCGTTTATCGCGGGTGGTTTTGGTCCCCATTAACCGCGATAAATGAGGGATTACTGTATATATATTTTTTCAATATATTCAGAAGCCCTAATTTAAAGTATGCCTCCTCTGTAGTTGAAGTTTTATGACAATGTTCTAAATAATACCTCTTTTACAAAAAAAAATCCAGCCTGAACAAAATATTTCTTACTGTAGAAATGTCAATCAAAAAGTAGTCTTACAAGGATACCGTATTCATTTTCGGATGGACAGAATTCACACCAGGAAAGTCCTTTGGTCCGGACCAAAGTCAGACCTTTTTTTTTTTTTTCGTTTGGTGCGGTGTGCATTCACATTGTATTGTCGATATACGATCTGTGACCCCTGCACAATGTGAGTTGTGCCTGCACAGGTTGGCCAAGTTGTATCAAACTGTTCCAAGTCTGTTTGGAAACAGACCGAGACCACCTCAAAAACTGGTTCTCGGTGCGTTTTTTTCTTTGGTTCGCACCAGAATTCGTTTGTCTGTATTCACATCTGAATAAAATTTCAGGACCAGCGTGGGAAAACGAACCCCGGTCCCTTTAAACTTGACCAGACAGTGAATGTGTGATGAATAAACCTTATCAAAGAAAACAAGGAACTCAGTCAATTTTGGAGATAAACTCTCTCCTCATTCAGCCTTTTTTTTAGGGGGAGAGGGGGGGTCCACATCCACATGATCATGAGAGAAACGACATATTTACATGCGAGCTGTCCATACTGTTCCCGTTTTTGTATGTCCTCATATTAGTTAGTCACTGTCCTTAGCTCCGTTTTATTTGGCTTGCTCAACTGGTCACCGGAACACACCTTTCGGTCCAGTGACTTCAACCACAGCGGTGAAACACATCGTACAAACTCTGACCTGCTGGGCAGATCGTTAAAAGAAAAAAGTATCAGGCATTCGTTTGATCGGTAACACCAATATGAATTCAAATCTGCGTCCAACCCTGCCAAATGCCTGACTTTGCCATGATAGTGTGGCATGGCTCAAGTGGTCAAGTGGTTGGCTCCCAACTTGAAGGTTGTGGTTTTGAAAACATTTTGAAATGAATTTGAGCAATACACCAAATTCCCAATTGTTCCTGATCCTGCATCATCAGTAGGTGAACAAGGAGATGGTGTTCAAGTGCTTGAAACACCTCAAAGGTCCAACAGCACGATACAAGTGGAATCCCGTTTATTTAGTCATGACTGATCAATAAAAAAAAAGTGACAGTTTTGTTTTTTTTAAACGCAAGGAACTTGATAAAAACATTTAAAACCCTCAACCTTCCCTCATTTCAACACTGATTAGCCAATTGTATTTATTGAAGCTTGATCACCCACTTTTCGCAACGCAAGCACATGTGCATTTTTCCAAACTTTGGAAACCGCATTACCATGAAGGAAAAAGTGACATAGTTTATCAGTTCTAGTGTATCAGCTGGCTCCTTTGGCAAATTCTGTACAAAGCTCACAGGAAGACACAGGCATAATTGAAAAGTAGAGTCACCAGAATAATGAATATTTCTTTGAAAATCAACATTTCACCATGGTAAATTTCTCCCTTTTCACACACACTGTCCAGGTTGTTGCGTATTTTGTATTTGCTTTTATTTGTTTCACTCTGCTGTCTGCAGCTGCCTCAGCATTGCAAATAAGAATGTGTTCTCAGTGGCCTGAACTGGAAATAAATCAATAAATAAATAAGCCCTGCATTTTATTCAGAATGTAGAAGATGAAAATAGAAGCAAAAACGTGTTGGAGGATGAGGCAATATCGACAGCAATTTACGACGGGCAATTTACCGTCTGAAATATTCCTTTGAAAATTTCTGAGTACTTAAAGGTAAAACATTTTGAATGTGAAATGATTGCAAGTTAAGAAATGAATGGGAAGCAGGTCTGTTTGTTGGGATTGTTGATGTGACTGAGATACTGTCATGTTGCCTCAATAAAAGTGATGATGGTTTGAAAAAGTAAAGTTAAATTTGTGGCCCTGTATCAAAACATTTAGACTTCAGACTTTTAGTCGGCTACATTTACGTATTGTTTTTGCTGTCAAGATGTGTACTGGGAACAGGGCATGGCTGACAAACTCAAGCATGCTAATTATCAGAGAGAAGAGAATTCAGCTGGATGAGTTACATACCAAGCAAACGAGCATTCTTGCCGTCAATGTGACAAGGTCACATTCCAGCTGTGACATTGAGGAGGATTCAAGATGAGAACTGCGTCATCAGTTATGATCTAAAAGTCCCTGAGCGTCTTTAAATAACCGTAAGTAGTCATTCTGTTGTGGAGAATTCCTCCTACAAACAACAAAAGCAAATCCAAGGACCTTTCTTTATTTTCAATGATTAAGATGAAATAAATGAACTAATTCAACAACTCTTCTGTTTCGCAATTTAATTTGCATTGAGCACATCTACCACTGACTTCCCGTGTTTTATTCAGCAATGGCTTTTTGAGACTTTTCATATGGCACATTGCAGCAACAAGTCATTTCAAGTGTCACTCACGACTGTGTGTGCCTTACCAAGGAGCGAGACAAGTTTGCCAATGACAAGAGCTTTATGGAAGATGAAGAAAAGAGATGATAGTAAACCCTGAAATACAAAAACACCGCACAAGCTTGATAATGTCTCAACGAGTCCACGTCTCCTGGCAAACTATATCTCGTACAAGTGGCGGACTCAAGAGTGAGGAGGAGATGGCGGTATAGGAGCAAAGTTAGTGTTTAATGACAGCAATGTGGAACATGTGACCAGGTTCGAAGAAGTCGCAAAACTGGCAGTGAGTAGATTGAGTTGTGGGTGAGGGTGGGAAGCAGGTGATGAGGCATAGGAATGATCGGATCGATCCTTGGGGTTGGCGGCAAAAGACTTGTGAAGATCAGCGAGGCTGGATGGGAGGCACTGGTAGGAAGACCAAAGAAAGTGAATCACGGCAAAAACACAACATGACAAACCTACAAACACTGGTGGCGGCCAATATACCACTCTGCATGTGGGAATCATCTGGTGACTGCTCGCAGATCAGTAGAGGTTTTAAACTGAGCTGATCGGCTGCAGATGTGTGAGAGTGAGTGCCTTCCAGAAGTTGACCCGCCAGCCAGAAACAAGGAAACAAATGACAAGCAGGAACATTCCACAGGAGCTTGTCAAAAATCAAAGGGAAGAAGCTCAAAAGGAAAACGGTCACAAAAATAAGACAAGTCCGTGCATAACCATCACTGCATTCAACGCCGCTGACCCGAACCCGAACCCGAGCCCGAGCCCGAACCCGAACCCGAACCCGAACCCGAACCCGAACCCGGAGCCGGACAGTCTGGAGAGCTCGGATCTCCGCCTTGGCACACATCCAGGATGCAAACATACGAGTATGTGTCCGTACAGAGTTCATCCTGCCATAGCCCGTCTGTAAGAAATAATAAAACTGAATAAGTAAAACAGCGCTGTATTCGAACCAACATTGAAGCACAGGGTATTTTGTCTACCTGCTGTATCAATCACCACACAAGCGTCAGTGTTATCGGGCTCATTATCGCCCGAATTAAAGTTCAGGAAATCCTGAATAGAGCCATCAGTCCAGATGTAGTCATTATTCTGCAAGACAAAATCGCATTTGAATTACTCTCATGAACATTGATGGTTTTGCATGGACTGTCTGTTTGTCACAATCCATCTCAGCCATGAAAATCATATCGTGTCATCATTACACACATGTTTGAGGTTGAACTAGATTTAGGAGTGTGGAGAAAAACACCAGGTGGTTGGTGCCCCCCACACCCCCCCAAAAAAGTGAGGATTTAGCGGAAAAGTAAAGTGGATTGGATTTATTCAAAAAGTTGGAACATGTCCACTTTGTCGATATTGACAAATGTCAACCTCTAGGTGGAGCTAGACATATTTGAGTGTTTTGCCCTTTCATGATCTACATTTCCTTGCTTTAATCTGGGTCCCAAGATAGAGTCAAGAGGAGACACTCATTTTCTTGAAATCAAAAACACTAATAATTCTGAACACAAGTGACAGGATTCAATCTGAAAGTTTGTACTGTTTCAGGCCCGCGGTGCATGATCTGGCCCGCCACATCCTTTTATGTGGATCACAAAAGCAAATCAAACATGCAAACAGCTTCCATGATGCTTGCTAAAATCTGTACCAACATTTCAAATTCTCATATTGGGAGTATTTTCGAGTTACCAAACCCTTCATGACAGTAACTGCAACAATTGTTGAATAAACCGTTCTTCTTGCCTTCTTTATATGGTTTCAGTCAGAATGTCCCTCCAAGGGAAACGGTAACTAAAATGTGGCCCCTGATAAAAATGGTTTTGACACCCCTGGCTGAAAGTCATACCACAATTGCATCGTGGAGTCCAATCCAGGCTCGTGATTGATTCGCATCTTGACTCAGTTGAAAAACGATTTTGTTTTCCAGATCATTGTGAATGGAGGCCAGATTTCCACCCAAATCAATGCAGGCCATCTGATGGAGAAAGAGAATGCAAAGTTGATTCCACTTCGTCAGGTCCATCAGAAAACAACCAACAGCAGAATGGATCACTGATTAAACAAGAATTATATCACAACTTCTGTGTAAAAGTCTTCCGTACCTCTGCAGTTACAAAGTTCGCTGAGGTATTTTGGTACATGTAACAGTGACAGTCCAACTGAGTCCAGCCTGAAGGACATTTAATATCTGCAACACAATAGGTGTTTTAAGGAGAACATGAGACACGTCAAAAAATCTGAAGTCAGTGTTGCAGAAATTCAGAAATTGTTCATTTGAAAAGGATCACGGTGTCACAGCTACCAACTTTTCCAATGACTCAAAGGTAAAGGCCACTGCAAAGAAAGCACAAAGGTAAAATCAGACTGCAGAATTCTGAGAACAATGAAGACACCAAAGCATAAAACAGTGTAAATCGTTTATGTTGTGTTTTCTTTCGTGACTGGGTAAAATTTTCACTTACGACTCCATTCAACAGTGCATTGATGCCGCAAAGGAGGAACAACGAGCGAACAGCAAATGCCATCTGCAATGATAGCAAAATATAAACTATTTCTATCAATAAATATCTGTTCAAACAGACCATGAGAACCAAAAACACAGTTAACAATGAAAAAGTCACATGAAATTGAGTTTCAAAATTAGGATGGAAAGTTCGGTGACATCACCTTTGCAGTTGAGGTCCTTGATACTGAGAAAGAAGACGAGCGGCTTTATAAGTTTGCTTGACGGGTCTTGGAATGTAGAATGTGTAGGTTGTGTCATTGCCACATGAAAAGAAGTCTCACAACAGGGAAATGGCTTTGAGTGGGTAACCAAACCCAACAAAGTTCTTCACTGTTTTTCTGTCTCGACTGGTTTGCAACTGACAACATGGGTCGGACTAAGAAATGCACACATAATATTTTCAGGTCAATGTTGTAAATTAAGATGCTGTATTTTTTTGTCTCTTCTATTGTGGGGACCAACCCACAATTTTCATGGAAAATATTTTTGTTGTCTTATATCATTTTTATAATAAGAATGATGATGATGATGATGATAACGGTGATGATGATGATGATTATTGGCTGGCAACCAGTTCAGGGTGTTCGCCCGTTCTGCCTGAAGACAGCTATTATTATTAATGTCCTCTCCATATGTAATATATTTTCCCATTTTGTTTTTACATTTACAGGAACTACTCATATATCACCACCAAGAAGGCTGGAGATACCAAGTCGCCTCCACGAAGAAGCAATATTTATTACGATACAAGAAACCGGGCGGCCCGGTCGTCCACTGGTTAGCACATCGACCTCACAGTGCAGAGGTGCAGGGTTTGATTCCAGCTCCGGCCTCCCTGTGTGGAGTTTGCATGTTCTCCCTGGGCCTGCATGGGTTTTCTCCAGGTACTCAGGTTTCCTCCCACATTTCAAAAACATGCATGGCAGGCTGATTGAACACTCTAAATTGTCCCTAGATGTGAGTGTGAGCGCGGATGCTTGTTCGTCTCTGTGTGCCCTGCGATTGGCTGGCAACCGGTTCAGGGTGTCCCCGCCTACTGCCCGAAGACCCCCCGCGACCTTTGTGAGGATAAAGCGGATCAGAAAATGGATGGATGGATCCAAAAAACCTTGCTTTACGCAGAATTTTTGAGATTGTTTGGAAACACATTCTTCTCAAGAATGCTCCAGGTTTATGTAAAATCCTTGACATTTGTTGGAACAGACTCTAGTGATTTCTCGACAGCAGTTAAATTTTTTGACAGATTCTCCAAAGACCGACTTTTATTAGATAACATCTTGATTTAATTTGATTTTATTCTGTTAATACCAGTTTCATCAGAATAAAAGTGATGAGACATTTGACAAATTTCCACAGAGACGTTGATGTACACTAACTAGAGAACAAAATTGATCCTAAGACTGATCCTTCAGGCACACCTTTAGCGACCTCAAGAAAAAAGGAGCCCGATTCAGCCACTTGAACAAACTCTGATCTGTTGGACAGATAGTTAAAAGAAAAAGAAAATCAGGCATTCGTTTGATCGGTAACACCAATATTAATTAAAAATCTGCATCCAACCCTGCCAAATGCCTTACTTTGCCATGATAGTGTGGCATGGCTCAGGTGGTCAAGTGGTTGGCTCCCAACTTGAAGGTTGTAGTTTTGATTCTCAACACGTGAAAACATTTTGAAGTGCTTTTCAGCAAGACATCTAATTCCCAATTGTTCCTGATCCTGCATCATCAGTATAGGTAAACAAGGAGATGGTGTTCAAGTGCTTTGAATACCTCAAAGGTCCAACAGCACGTTACAGGTGAAATCCTGTTTATTTAGCAGTGACTGATCAATACAAAAAGTGACAGTTTAGTTTTTTTTTTTTTTAACTCAAGGAACTTGATAAAAACATTTGAACCCCTAAACCTTCCTTCACTTAAACACTGATTAGTCAATTGTATTTATTTAAGCTTGATCACCCCCTTTTCGCAAGGCAAGCACATGTGCAATTTTCCAAACTTTGGAAACTGCATTACCATGAAAGAATAAGTGATATAGTTTATCAGGTCTAGTTGATCAGCTGGCTCCTTTGGCAAATTCTGTACAAAGCTCACAGGAAGACACAGGCATAATTGAAAAGTAGAGTCACCAGAATAATGAATATTTCTTTGAGAATCAACATTTCACAATGGTAACTTTCTCCCTTTTCACACACACTGTCCAGGTTGTTGTGTATTTTGTATTTGCTTTTATTTGTTTCACTCTGCTGTCTGCAGCTGCCTCAGCATTGCAAATAAGAATGTGTTCTCAGTGACCTGAACTGGAAATAAACAAATACATAAATCAATAAATAAATAAATAAATAAGCCCTGTATTTTATTCAGAACTTAGAAGATGAAAATAGAACCAAATAAATGTGTTGGAGGATGAGGCAATATCGACAGCAATTTATTACGGGCAATTTACAGTATGAAAAGTTCCTTTGAAAATTTCTGAGTACTTAAAGGTAAAACATTTCGAATGTGAAATGATTGCAAGTCAAGATATGAATGGGGAGCAGGTCTGTTTGTTGGGATTGTTGATGTGACTGAGATACTGTCATGTTGCCTCAATAAAAGTGATGATGGTTTGAAAAAGTAAAGTTACATTTGTGGCCATGTGTCAAAACATTTAGACTTCAGACTTTTATTCGGCTACATTTACGTATAGTTTTTGCTGTCAAATTGAGCACTGTGAACAGGGCATGGCTAACAAACTCAAGCATGCTTATTATCAGAGAGAAGACAATTCAGCCGGATGAGTTACATACCAAGCAAACGAGCATACTTGCCGTCACTGTGACAAGGTCACATTCCAGCTCTGACATTGTGGAGGATTCAAGATGAGAACTGCGTCATCAGTTATGAGCTAAATGTCCCTGAGCATCTTTAAATAACAGTAATTAGCCATTCTGTTGTTGAGAATTCCTCCTACAAACAACAAAAGCAAATCCAAGGACCTTTCTTTATTTTCATTGATTAAGATGAAATAAATGATCTGAATCATGAACTAATTTAACAACTCTTATTCGCAATTTAATTTGCAGAGAGCCCATCGACCGCTGACTTCCCGTGTTTTTTTCAGAAATGGCTTTTTTGAGACTTTTCATATGGCACAGTGCCGCAACAAGTCATTTAAAGTGTCACTCACGACTGTTTATGCCTTACTCAGGGGCGGGACAAATTTGCCAATGACAAGAGCTTTATGGAAGATGAAGAAAAGAGATGATAGTAAACCCTGAAATACAAAAACACCGCACAAGCTTGATAATGTCTCAACGAGTCCACGTCTCCTGGCAAACTATATCTCGTACAAGTGGCGGACTCAAGAGTGAGGAGGAGATGGCGGTATAGGAGCAAAGTTAGTGTTTAATGACAGCAATGTGGAACATGTAACCAGGTTCGAAGAACTCGCAAAAGTGGCAGTGAGTTGATTGAGTTGTGGGTGAGGCTGAGAAGCAGGTGATGAGGCAGAGGAATGATCTGATCGATCCTTGGATTTGGCGGTGAAAGACACGTAGAGATAACGTGGAGCGAGGCTGGATAGGAGACACTGGTAAGAAGACGAAAGACGTGAATCCCGGCAAAAACACAACAAACCTACAAACACTGGTGGCGGCCAATATACCACTCTGCATGTGGGAATCATCTGGTGACTGCTCGCAGATCAGTAGAGGTTTTAAACTGAGCTGATCGGCTGCAGGTGTGAGAGTGAGTGCCTTCCAGCAGTTGACCCGCCAGCCAGAAACAAGAAAACAAATGACAAGCAGGAACATTCCATAGGAGCTTGTCAAAAATCAAAGGGAAGAAGCTCAAAAGGAAAACGGTCACAAAAATAAGACAAGTCCGTGCATAACCGTCACTGCATTCAAGGTCCCTGACCCGGACCCGAATCCGGAGCCGGTCCCGGACAGTCTGGAGAGCTCGGATCTCCGCCTTGGCACACATCCATGATGCAAACATACGGGTTTGTGTCCGTACAGTCTTCATCCTGCCATAGCGAGTCTATAAGAAATGGTAAAACAGAATAAGTAAAACAGCGCCGTATTCTAACCAACATTGAATCACAGGGTATTTTGTCTACCTGCTGTTTCAATCAGCACACAAGGACCAGCGTCATTAGGCTCCCCACCGTCCGTATCAAAGTTAAGGAAATCCTGAATTGAGCCATCAGTCCATATGAAGTCACCATTCTGAAAGACAAAATCACATTTGAATTACTCTCATAACCATTGATGGTTTTGCATGGACTGTCTGATTGTCACAATCCATCTTGATCATTAAAATCATATCGTGTCATCATTACACACATGTTTGAGGTTGAACTAGATTTAGGAGTGTGGAGAAAAACACCAGGTGGTTGGTGGTTCCAAAAAAAAAAAAAAGAAGTGAGCATTCATCGGAAAAGGAAAGTGGATTGGATTTATTCCAAAAGTTGGAACATGTTCACTTAGTGGATATTGAATTGAATTTAATTGAATGTTAATATTGACAAATGTCAACCTCTAGGTGGAGCTAGATATATTTGAGTGTTATGCCCTTTTACGATCTACATTTCCTTGCTTTAATCTGGGTGCCAAGGTAGAGTCAAGAGGAGACACTCATTTTCTTGAAATCAAAAACACTAATCATTCTGAACACAAGTGACAGGATTCAATCTGAACGTTTGTACTGTTTAAGGCCCGCGGCGCATGATCTGGCCCACAAAAGCAAATCAAACATGCAATCAGCTTCCATGATGCTGGCTAAGATCTGTATCAACATTTCAAATGATCATATTGAATAAATAAGACAGATATTGAAAGTATTTTCAAGTTACCAAACCCTTCATGGCAGTAACTTAAACAATAGTTGAATAAACCGTTCTTCTTGCCTTCTTTACATGGTTTCAGTCAGAATGTCCCTCCAAGGGAAATGGTAACTAAAATGTGGCCCCTGATAAAAATGGTTTTGACACCCGGGCTGAAAGTCATACCACAATTGCATCGTGGAGTCCAATCCAGGCTTGTGTTCCACCACCATCTTCAATCAGTTGAACGACGATTTCATTTTCCAGATCATTGTGAATGGAGACCAGATTTCCACCCTCAGCAATGCAGGCCATCTGATTGAGAAAGAGAATGCAAAGTTGATTCCACTTAGTCAGATCAATCAGAAAACTGAGTGGATCACTGATTAAAAAAGAATTATATCACAACTTCTGTGTAAAAATCTTCCGTACATCAGCAGCTACAAAGGTCTCTGGGGTGTTGAAGTAGATGTAACAGTGACAGTCCAACTGAGTCCAGTCTTCAGGACATTTAATGTCTGCAACACAATAGTTGTTTTAAGGAGAACATGAGACACGTCAAAAACATCTGAGGTCTGTGTTGAAGAAATTCAGAAATTGTTCATTTGAAAAGTATCATGGAGTCCAAGCTACCAACTTTTCCAGTGACTCAGAGGCAAAGGCCGCTGCGAAAAAGGAGAACACATTGGGAAAGTCAGACGACAGAGTGTGGACGCAAACGGAGACACCAACATCAAACATTATTGTCAATATGTTTGTATTAGTGAGTGATTTTTTTTTTTTTTTTACTTACGACTCCAGTCAATAGTCCACCTATCCCACAAAGGAGGAACAACGAGCAAAGGGCAAAAGCCATCTGTGTGATGATCAAAAAATATTAAAAATTTATTAGTCATAAATACCTTTGTAACGTACACATTTAACCATGCGAAACAAAAAGGCAGCTCATGTTGAATCGGCTCCATTGGATGGAGTTGAAAATTACGATGTAAAGTTGTCTAAAGTTACCTTCAATTTTCAGATTTCTAACAATAAACATTTGTGTTACACTTACATCTCACCATGTGAATCAAATATGCGATAAATACTCAAGATGTCACACAAGAAAATGGAATTTGAAAAGTGCGATGTGTGAAGCTACCTTTGCAGTCGTGTTGCTTGATGCTGAGTATGATGACGCCGATTCCTTTTATATGTTGGCTTGGCAGTGTCAGAATGTTAAATGTGCCCAATTATTTCGTAATCACATGCCACATTGGATCAGGTCGCTCAACAAGGAAATAATTAAGTTAAGTGTCTCACCAGAAAAAACAAAACAAAACAAACAAACAAAAAAACCTTTGTTACTGATGTTCTGTGTTTGACAAACCGGTTTTCTCGGAGCCCAACTAAGATAAGATAAGAAAAACCTTTATTGTCTCACATTGGAGAAATTCGCAATCTACAGCAGCAACATTTGGAGGGAAGAACTGAAGGAATATTGTTGTAGTTACTAATGTATATGTTCCCAGAGTTGGTTCATGTACCGACATGTTTGCGAGCTGATCTGATACTTAGGTAACATGACTCAACTCAAGTCAACTCAACTACAGTGACCCCAACTCACCTCTATTTCTAGGGGCACTTAATTAAAAACATCCACCAAAGTTCTGAACATGGAGCAAAGATAAGTCTTAAAACAACAAACAATAAAACAATCAATTAATAACGAAGACAGTAAAAGGCTCAAAAACAGTCAAACTAAAAGCAAGTCTCATGCGGAGTCAAACGCCAAAGAATAAAAATGAGTTTAAAGATGATTAAAAAAAAAAAAAAGAAAAAGAGCAATGAGGGGGGCGTGCTGGAGCCTATCGCAGCCGACTTCGGGCAGGAGGTAGGGTACACCATGAACGGGTTGCTAGCCAATCGTAATGCGCGCATAGACAAACAACCATTCACACTCACATCACACCGAGGGACAATTTAGAGCACTGGTGTCAAAGTCAAGGCCCGGGGGCCAGATCCGGCCCCCCACGTCATTTTATGTGGCCCGCGGGAGCAAATCATGTGTGTCAACTTTCATGAATCTTTGCTGAAATCTGTACCGAAATGTCAAATTGTCGTGGGTAATAAATCACGTTGAGATTTTGCACCGGCCCTCCAAGGGAAGCCGTAACTCAGAAGTGGCCCATGACAAAAAAATCAGTTTGACACCCCTGATTTAGAGTGTTCCATTCATCTGATGTGCTAACGAGTCGCGTGCTGTGCTGCCTGAAATAGAGTTCAAAGATGAGTTTTAAAGATGGACATTGACGGGGCTTGGCTCAGGTTTCGCGAGAGTTCATTTCAAAGTTGTCAGTTGTGCGTGGTTGTTACGGTACACCGGTGGGTACTCTGAGGAAAAAGCTCGATGAAACATTTGTACCATAAACCTTGCGCATACTCTTGTTGGTTGTTGTTGTCTTTTTAAATTCACTGCTTTGTTGGCTGACACTTTGTTCCTCATGCTTGAGTAATAGCACTTGGTCTGTGTCGTCTCCATCGAGCTGTATCACGCCAAGAGGTTGATTCTCAACAAAAGAAGTTATTAAATGATACTCCGGAACACTGAAACCAGTTGACTCGTTGGCGTCAATTCTCTTTGTCAAATTTGATTGCTTGTCAACCGCACCCTTTTACAGTGCTCGGTGTGACACTTCTTTTTAATAGTAGTTTTATTTGTATTGTTCTCCAGTAAGTTTAGTTGATTACAAGAAGTGAAGTGTAAATGCTTTTAAATCCATACATATGATGAAGGTCTTATAACGCATTTTAAAATCATGTTTTTCTTTTCGGGATTTTAATGAGCCACTTTGTATTTCTTGACTTTGCTTTTACATTGCCTTGAACGCTTTTTTGTTTGCAAATGATTTTCCTTGTTGCACTTTCAGTTCAGTGAAGCACATTACGGATGTGAGGTTGTTCACTGTGCACCACAGTTGACAGTCTCTGTGACAGGAAGAAAGAATGAAGAAGCATTGCCTTGAGTACAGTGAAGTTGTTAACCTTTCTCTCACCCTGTTGGTTAGGTTCGACTTTTATAATTCAGTGCTTCATTGAATGTGACTTTGTTCCTCATGCTTTCATAATTGGACTGAGTGTGAGACTTCCCCATCCAGTTTGGCTCCGTTGTATCATGCCAAGAATTTGATCCTCCATCATACACAGCTATTTGATGACGTGCCGGAACACTGAAAACAAGTTACAGGATGCTTAGGGATGACAGAATCACTTATGCTACGCACTTTCTACACGCAAGCCTCATACTGTATGTGCATTAGCGTTAGGGTTAGAGCAGAGGTGTCCCAACTATGACATTTGCAGCCCGGCATTCATTTCCCAGTGGCCCATGACATGACAAAAATTAATAAATACATTGAAATTTGACATGGGCCGCAAAGTTAGTGAAAAAAGGTGAAGGTGGGCGGAGTGAGAAGGGGCGGTGTCAGAAAAATTGGTGCCATTACTTCTAATAAATAGTGTTTATATACCGTTGAATTCTTCCTCTATATTCGAAGATACCATTTATGATTCAATGAATAACACAGTTTATCTTCAAAACACTGCAGTGAATAAAGGTCATTCAATTAATATTCATGAATTAAATGGGTTTGTGCGATTTTGGCACCTGAATGTAGACCGCACACCGTACGTTCAAAACAGTTAGACCTTGAATTTCTTTTTTTTTCTCATCATGTGTGGGGTTTCTCAGAGTTTGGAAGTCAGGTACAATTATAAAATCTTGCCACAGGAACTAGGCTTCAGACAGCATTTGAATGAATGAGTCAATGTTGAACATCTAATAAAGGAGTATTTCAGGGATTTGCAATTCGTACGCGCATCCATGTGCCCCTTCGTGACTAGATGTGCCACCGTAGCCACTCCACTGAAAATGTTTTGGCTCCGCCCCTGTCTGGTAGGTCAAGGTTGACGTTTTTAGAAGCACAAGAGGTCTTCTGTTTGTGATAGTCCCAACATATGAAACCAAATGGTGAGCAATGAAGTAATTCACACAGCACAAGAATATGTCGTCACATGACACAATAAGGCACACCGCCGTACTCACTGGTTTCTATTTCTGGCCTTGAAGTGTTGTTTTCATACATTTTATTTTTTTTTTGTGGCCATGACTTTATTACAATATTAAGTTTAGGGGTATTCACACGGCACACATTTGCATCGGTGCTGCACCGACGTATTTTGTTGTGATATCTCTTACACCGGTGTAAATTTTGTGGAGCCTTCACACGTAAAAAGCTGCTTACGCAAGAGAAGCGTGTTAACCCTGGTGCAGCCTCACTTGCGTTCACACGGCAGTTTCTGCGGCCGTGCAATACGATAATGCGGAAATAAAACATGCGCATTCGTGTACTTCCTTTTCCCCGAATTGTTTGTGATATATGGAAAAAACATCGTTTATACTTCTCTGGACAAAGCTGTGGTCTATCGGACACAGTAAAAGGATGAGAGAAGAGAAAAAGGAAAGATGACGGAAGTACAACAGAGCACGAAAGAAATGCATTCAATACCAGAATGCAATAAACTCTTCTCATGCGTAGCGAGTCCACCCCTGTAGCGTTCACACGTCCCATTTTGCATCGGTGCTGCCTCGCAAACTAGCATTTACTCCGGAGTAAATTTTTAAACCACCTCCTGAGCAGGGTTAAATTTGCTTTAAACTGTTTTCAGGGGCTACACCAGATTAACTTTGTACGTGTGAACGCTGTACGGGGAGTAAAAGTTGCCGTGTGAACACCCCTATAGATTAATGATAAAGTACTGCATGTTCCCATTCCAAATTACGAAAATATTCCTTTATGAGTCTCCAATTTGGGTTCCCACTGACTCAGTTTGGTCCAAAACCTGTTTGGCAAGAGGTTCTTTGTTTTACTTTTTTGCTGGGGGACAGACTTGTCTTGAAAGTTATTTCCTTGTCACCTGGTCTGAGGTGTCACGTGACTTTGACATGATTTGACTCAGTCAACGTTCCAAGGGCAGCCGACCCAACATACAAAAGAAATCGTCCTCAACATCGTTCTCAGCGTTAAGGCACATGACTGCAAAGGTAACTTAACCAAACTTTGCATCCCACTTTTCAAACACAATATCATGTATTCATACACAATATTAATAGCATTTATTGCATTTTTGTGAGATTACAAGTGTAATGATAATATTTATTGTTGGATTCATGATTTTTGTTTGGTTTCTATTTTTTTTTAATTGCACAGATGGCATTTGCTCTTCGCTTGTTAATCTTCCTTTTTGTGATCAATGGACAGTTGAGTGGAGTCGTAAGTCAAAATCTCACACGCTGACTTAAATTCAAAACATATGAATATTAAACTTACATTTATTTTTGTGTTTTCTGTATTTGTGTTTTCTCTCGTGTCAATGTTTGGCAGTCCAATTCTAACAATGTGCTTTTGTTCTTCGCAGCGGTCTTTCTCGTTTGATTTTTGGAAAAGTTGGTAGCTATGTCTCAATTATTGTTTTTTTTTTTGGAATGGACATTTTACCAACTTTGTTGGCACTGACACCCGATTTAGCTGACCTGTCTCATTTTGTTTTCCTAAAGAAAAAGTGGCCATCAATAACTGTCCTCCAGGCTGGACTCAGTTTAACTGCAACTGTTTCATTTACCAAGCGGGAGCGAGGACCTTTGACGATGCAGAGGTAAGGAAGGCATTTGTTGCAATGCAGTTCCCAACCAGTTTACTGACATTACAATTAGTGATCCATCTGTCTGTTGATCTAAACTCAAGATATTTTGCCAAGTTTTCGGTGAGTCTGAATGAGTGAAATCAACTTTTAACTCTCTGATCATCAGAGCGTCTGCAACTCTCTCGGTGGGAATCTGGCCTCCATCCGCAGTGAGCTGGAAAACACATTTGTGCAAGGAATTATTGAAGAAGCCAATAGTGACGTCTGGATTGGGTACAATGATCAAGATACGGTAAAACATTGACCAGAAGTTGTGATTTAAGGCTGTCACCTGTGCACTACCGTCAGACTAAAATATAAATAGATGATTAAAAATGTTGGAGTATTGTCATAAAACAAGTTGATTTTCAATGTAAACCATACAGATTTTTTTAATACAATCTATACAATGAAAAAAGACACCAAATAAACTCTTGAAATAATCTGTCAGAGCAAAATTTAGCTTTTGATCAATTTAAAAATATTCAATTGGTGTCACCTGAAAGTATTACCTTTCAGTAATGCTATTTATGACCTCAAAGCAACTCATTATTTTTGGTTGTCCTATGTGAAAATAATCAAATTGGATTAGATACATCATATTGAGAATCCTTTCAGTTTAACCTGAAAGTTTGTCGTTCATGTAAACTATATTTGTACTTTGGAACAAAGTACAGTATGTATTCATTTAATTTGTCGCAAAGATACAAAATTGTCATCATGCTAAATTGAAAAAAATACTTTTTTTGAAAAAATGCATTTGAATTGATGGGCAAGGCAACTTGATTCACACAGTGCATAATTACTGAAGACATATAAAACAAAGTACAGAAATAAATAAAAAACACCCCTTATTCAAATCACTTAAAGTGCAATATTTTTTTAAGCTTACTAAACTCATTTCAAAAAGTTAGAGTGCAAGAAAAATGATTTTTTTGAATTGCATCTTTTTTTTTTAAATGCTTATAAGAGCTGAATTGTAGGCAAGTGAAACCAATTAACATACACAGAAAAGTATTCACACTTGGGACTGATTTCATAGTCCCAAGAAATAACCTAATAAACCCTTTCGTTGTTCACTGAACTTTTTTTGTCCCAAATAGCGAAAAGCACAAATTAGTACAGATGTTTTTTTTTTTTTAAATTAATGTTTCCCGATACTTCTGGATACATGACAAACACAAGAGAATGCCTAAAGTCGTCATGCTGCTTAACCTGGTGGTGGTTAAAAAAAGTTATGTCACTTTTTAATAGCAATCTGCATCAAATTTAAAAAGTCACAAATCAGAATGAATGGTAGAAGGGATCTCATCCATTCGTTCATTTTCTAACACTCTTATCCTCACGAGGGTCACGGGCGTGCTAGAGCCTAACCCAGCTGACTTCCGGTAGAAGTTGTGGTACACCCTGAACTGGTTGCCAGCCAATTGCAGGGCACACGAAGATGAACAACATTTCACACACATTGTCACACCTAGGGACAATTTAAAATTTTTCCATTAACCAGTCATGCATGCTTTTGGAATGTGGGAGGAAACACAGGTATCCGCAGAAAACCCACGCAGGCACGAGGAGAATATGCAAACTCCACACTCTCTGTACTGTGAGGTAGACATGCTGACCCATCGACCACCATATATATTGTAGTTTGTAGAAATGTTTTGTCAGAAAACTGAGTTTTCTGACAAAACATTTCCTTTCATAGTGTACACACACATACGCGCACTCAATTTCTTGATGAGTTTGTTCACTGTTTTTTTTACCTTTGCTTTGATAATTATTTTGAGTGCCTAATTGTATTCTAAAGTGAAGAACGGGTTAATATTCTCATAGAGCACTATTCGGAGACATTGTTCACAGCTAAAAAGAGTGTCAAATAAAACTCTGATTGTGATTGCTGGACACCGGTCAACTTAGAGTGTGCACTTAGCTTGCTAACTTAGCTTCGTTTAGTATACGAACGACCATGGGACATGGCAGCCAGTTTCAATGTTCATATAATGTACATGCACACACTCAAACAACTTCAAAACCGTATCCCTTGTTTAACATTCTAGTTTGAAACCCTAACCTGAGATTAAAACCCTATTTTGAAACCACAACCCAAATTTAAAATCCTACTTTAAAACCCTAACCCTAGTTTGTAACCTTATTAGAAACCCTAACTTAACTCAAGTTTAAAACCCAATCCCTAGTTTATCACCTTAATTTGAAACCTGAATGCTAGTTTAGAACCCTACTTTGAAACCCGAACCGTGGTTTCAAACCCTACTTTGAAACCCCTCATGGCGGTGGTCGGCCAGGTTGAGGAAATTTCGTCTGAAGTGTTAAATCCCGCCCGCACATGTGCAAAAAGCACACTCAATCTAAATCATGTCTTTGGTCCAGTTGCAACGATTATGTTTGGTGCCTTACATCAGTAAGTAAAATATATAAATACATAAATAAATACAACTAGAACAGTGTATTTAAGCAAAAAATATAAATTGGAAAGTTTACTTGAAAAGAACAAACTATTTTTCAACATTTTTTTTAAAAAGCATGAAATAAATGACTGCTTTTGTATGCTTTTTCAGTGAACTGTCAGACTTCCAAAAAGATGTGTACAGTATGTCGTGAACACTCAGACTATTGTCCCCAGCATTAATGCAGGAGGTGTAGAACTGAGTGTGTAACCTTAATCCTTTTAATGTAATTCATTGAAATGTGACTTTGTCTTCCAGGAAGGTACCTTCGTATGGACTGATGGCACAACTCCTGACTTTGAAAATTTTGACGGTGGAGCGGCTAGTGGTGTCGGTAACTGTGTCACACTTTCTGAGAGTGGTGAGTAAAATCAGTGAAGTTTGCTGACATTCTCACACTGTTACACATGAATATTTGTTTTCTTACAGATGGTGATTGGCAGGATGTCACGTGCACAAACACAGAAGCATACGTTTGCATCAGACCAGTCGACCCGAATCACTAATCACCGTCTTCTGTCACAATTGAGATTCTTAATCATGACGCCCCAATGAGACAAAATCAAACCCGTTTGGTGTCTTTGTTCTGTATATTTCTAGGCCTACTGTCAACTCTGCTTTTCTTCTTCTTTTTTTTTTTTTCTACATTGCTCATTTGTTATTGACAACACATTTGTAACGTCAAAGAGCATCCTGTCTGGTAAATGAGAGAAGATTTTAGAATAATGTTTTGGGGGACTTATTTTCTACTTCTCACCATTTTGAACTTGCTAGATCTGTTACTTCAAAATTTTTAAGTAAAACTCATTAAATGGATGAAGACAGAACAACAATACATGGTCGTTGATGACAACAATGCAAAGCACTATTCACTGCCAGCCATTTTTAGACCCTCTTTTAGCCTACCACATAAAACAATGAATAACATAAATGCCAGAATATTTCTATAGTGCCCTATCTGTCCTTGTCTATAAAGGTAGAATCTTGAAATTTTGATGTACCTGTGTTTTAAATATAGGCCTACATAATAACACAGTTTAGAAAAGGTGTGTACCATGGTTTAAAACTATATTTCACTCGGAATCCTTGGATATTTTTTCTTGCATTCCTGAATACATGATCAATGCTTCAATATGTTCAAGGAGGAACTCAAGGCCAAGTGAAAGTTTCAGATGATCAACCAAATTTGTTTGTGAACAATACAGTAGTGGCATTTTTAAAAATTTAAATTCATTATTAGTATTTATTTGAGTATTTGGTGCCATTTTTAGTGTTTTGCAAAGACTTAATTATTATTATTTATTTCTTATGTTTGTGAAAGTTTTTTTCAATGTTAATAATAAGCAAAACTGACAAATACTCTGATATCGTTCATTTCTGGTGCAGGGGTCAGCCCAGGACAAGACTTTGACTTTTTTTATAAATTATATCGGACATTGTTTGACAAACCTTCAATATAATTTAAGAACCATATGGAAAAAATGCATCAGGAAATATTTTCTTAGAATGATTGATCATGCACTGGTTAGCACGTTCGCCTCACCGTGCAAAGGTGTAGGGTTCGAATCAGGCCTTCCTGTGTGAAGTTTGTATGTTCTCCCCGTGCCTGCGTTTCCTCCCACATTCCAAAAACATGCATGGCACGTGAATGGAACACTCCAAATTAACGGGGATGGGTTTTCGTCTACGTATGCCCTGTGATTGGCTGGCAACCAGTTGAGGGTGTCCCCCGCCTACTGCCCGAAGCTGGGATAGACTCCGGCATGCCCGCGACCCTTGTGAGTATAAGCAGATTGAAAAATGGATGGATGGATGGATGAATAATAATAATAATAATAATAATAATAATAATAATAATAATAATAATTATAATAACTGTTCTGTAAAGTGCTTTGTTACAGCTGAAGCTGTTGTGAAAGTGCTATATCAATAAATATGTATTGTTTTGTATTGTATTGTAATAATAATAATAATAATAAAGATGTATTGTATTGTAATAATAATAATGATAATAATAGTAATGATAATAATAAAGTAATTCCCATACACACACACACACACACACACACACACACACACACACACACACACAAATAAATACGAAGCACCAGCAATCCATATTTAATCCTTGCTTGGTGTGTCACCATCACCAACCTCTCAGACAGCGAGGCAGATCAGTACAATTGGCTAATTGTAAACATATGAGTTATCAAAACAAAGATTGTATTCTTCTTTCTTTAATACTCTGCCCCAAAGATAACAAGGGGAAAAGAAAAGACTGCTGCCAACTTGGCAGATGGAGTGCCAAGCCCTCCACCCATCCCTTCAGCTTTATAATAAGAACATCCAAACGCGCCCTTGAAAAGCGCTAAGTGGTCCAATGTCTGGCCGCAAACAGAGCAGACACCGCCACCTAGTGACATGATCCAAGTGAGCTCTGTATCTGTTTTCAGCTATGACTGCGTGTGTAATCCTCCACTAGATGTCACCAATAGTTTTTTTTTTTTTCAACACCAGGCTACATGGAGTCACCCACTGTCCTTTGGGGAAAAAGTCTGAACCGAACATCTCAGTTCATCTTGATTCTCAAACTTCCCACTAGCTGTGAGACCTGCAGGTGCTCACAGCAACTTCAATGAACGTATCAATGAACGAATCAATCCATGAATCAAACAATTTTTTCATGCATAAAACTGCAATTTAAAGTGTGCCACATAAATAACCCCCCCCAACACACACACACACACACACACACACACACACACACACACACACACACACACACACAGTTATAGGGGGAATGAAAGCAGTGTCATGTGACTTGTTTCACTTTGCGTTCGTGTGCAGGTGTTCATTGACCAAAGCCCACATTTGCCATAAAAGCTGTCATGGAGGAATGTTCTTCGGTGTGTGTGTTCAGCCAAACGTGACTTTTACATTAGCGGATTTATCAAGCATGGGCCTTAACGGTACACTTACTGCTTATCAGGTAAGACTTTCTGTATACCATTCTGTCGGCATGTAGAAATGGTAGATGTAGGGAACCTGTATGAAATGTCCATTTTTTTTTTGTTTTGCAGATTGATGTTCTCTCAACAGTGTATTTGCTCTCATTAGCTCCCAGGTAATAACTTTCATTATCTTTTCCCCATCAGAATTGACATATATGAAAATCATATTCGTATAGAACAAATGCCCCCAAATCCATGCTATGAAGAACAGTACCGGTGTTATTGGATTAGTGTGATGGTAATCTTGAAATTTGCAACATAACCAACACATGGATTTACATATGAACTGGGCTAGATTGACACTGACTGGATCAAGTGAGTCAGAGGGATGGAATATGTTTCACGGTAGCATCAATGGCAATAATACACAATCATTCATTTTCCAATTGGAATTGAATGTTTTCGGATTGGAGTAAGGCCTCTTCCAAATGTGGACAGCAATTTGATACTTATTATTGGATATCTGCTAATAGAAGTGCAGCTGAGACACAAGTCCTCTGGGATAGGCTCCAGCAACTCACCGTGACCCTCTTCAGGATAAGTGAGGGGCGGCCCGGTGGATGACATTCCAAAAACATGCACTATAGGTTAATGGAACACTCTAAATTGTCCCTCGGTGTGATTGTGAGCGTGAATGATTGTTTGTCTATGTGTGCCCTGTGATTGGCTGGCAACCGGTTCAGGGTGTCCCCCGCCTACTGCCCAAATGACAGCTGGGATAGGCTCTGGCACGCCTCACGGCCCTTATAAGGATACGCGGATCAGAAAATGGATAGATGGATGGATGGATCTTTCATGAAATGGTGTGTATGTGTATGTGTGTGTGGGGGGGGGGGTGTATATATAGATAGGTAAATAAATAGATAAAACAAACTTCTTCATTCATTATATTGTTGTATTTTTATTGTTTAATAACACCTTGCTTCGGTCCCCGTGATTAAACTGCAAAAAAAAAAATGCTCCACAAAATGAAAAATTTGCTCCTCAAATTAAGTAATTTATTATATTATATATATTACTTTCTGTGATTTTACATGTTGTCTGTATCTTTTTATTTATGTTGCAATTGATAATTCATTACCTCCGTGATGCATTATGGATTTGCCTTTTGTATGAACCAGCATCACAGAATGTATTATGCTCAATTTTTTCCTCTCCCATTCTATAGTTATGACCAATTAAAAATGTCAATCAAATCCATGGACTGACTGAACCCAGCACCACTTCGTTTTTCACAGCCCAACTGCAGCTGTAACACTGTTGTGTTCATCATAAAGACTGCACTTGGAACATTAAACACAATAAATAACAAATGATAGAAATTTGCATTACCCTTGTTTCAGATAATGGATGGATGGATGAAATTTGCACTGGTTGCCAGACTGACAAAGTTAATGTATTATTTTGCTTTTACTGCACTGATTCGTCTGATGCAATGGAACAAAAGCAAAACTGCAGGGCAATCATTTCACACACCTCAATGTTTTTTTTACGTGTCATCTCTCTTGACTCATCACACCAAGCAGATTCCAAAGTACAACTTATCATGCAAATTTCATGTATACAATACACTTGGTTATGAAACGCTTTATATGTGTGTGTGTGTGTGTGTGTGTGTGTGTGTGTGTGTGTGTGTGTGTGTGTGTGTGTGTGTGTGTGTGTGTGCATATGTTTGGGTGTGTCTCACTGTTGTCTGCAGCGTGATTGGCAGCTGTTCTGTGCTGGCGGTTTCCATCATCAGATGGAGGCATCTGAAAGAACAGGTTTGTCCGATCGAGCGAGCGAGCGATCGATCAACCGATCGATCGATAGATAGAATTAAAGCATGCTGTTTGTGTGTGCAGGTGAGCCTCCTCGTCCAGCTGTCCCTGGCAGACCTTGTGGCTGCTCTGATCCTGATGTTCACCAGTGCCATGAACAAAGTCCGCACCGACGACAGTGTAACCATCTGTCAATACAGTCTACCTTTATCACTGGTGAGGCACAATAGCCGTTTATAAAGTCAACTACTACCTGACAAAAATACTTGGCTTTCCGAGTATGACCATCATGATCAAGATTTAAAGAAAACATTTTTGGGGGGGGGGGGCGAGATGGCTGCCTACTACTGTGTGTTCGTGATGTCAAACAGTTATTTATATCAGTGACACAATTTGTAGTTCAGATACATTTCTCAGTGGTCAAAGGGAATGTGGCAAGGATCGTGGATACTTTGAATGCTGCAGATAAGCAAAATAATGATGGAATGCATGAGTTCTACTCAGGTTCTTTCCAAAAACAAATATGGAAAATATTTAGGCTATCAGGTTGAATATTTGGCTAACACAAAAGGAACACGAGCCACTTCGCCAGGTAAAGGATCATGTACAATGTGTAATATCTTGTATATTGTATAGTATAGCATACAATATGTACAAAACACATGTATATATGGATATACAGAGTGTATGGATAGTACAGAAAAGTAAATACCATTAAAAAAACAGCAACAAATTAACTTGTAACATTGAAACAACATGTGAGGTGCACAGACATCACTCATGATTAGCAGTTCCCTAGATTGTAATACATTTCTTAAAAATATTAAGTTGCTCTAAAGTGGATATCATTGTATTTTGTTGTCATAAACGCCCAGAAAGAAACATCACAGCAATATGTATTCATCCTATATACTGCTTGAAAAATGCCTTTTTTTTCCTGTTTTACTGTCAAACCTTTCTATCCAAGATTAGGACTGTATAATTTCATTTTGGCAGCAAAGCGCTCGCGCACACACACACACACACACACACACACACACACACACACACACACACACACACACACACACACACATCTTTTTTTTTCAAGATCTAAGTTTTGCTTTTGAACATAAATCAGCCTTTTTTACCGGATAAACTGTTTGTTTTAGATTTTTTTTTAATATGGTATTTCTTAGTTGTCATTTATTTTTATTTTACTTGTTCATAAATTGTATTTTCTTAGCTAAAAACACAATGAATTTACATCAATAACTCCCAATTTAAAATTTTATCACCATAACTTTATTGTGATTTGTTTGTGAAACAGAATAAGAAGGTGATCAAACTCTAAAATAAAGGCAAACATGACCATTGTATACCATTCACACATACAAATACAAAATAATTGTTATTGTGTGTTTAGTGTGTTTGTTCTGAACATTCCTGGCCCTTTTCTAACCTCTGAATGTTGTATGAACATTAGTACTAAAATGATCTTTCATGTGCATAAGATTGACTATAAAGAGATAAATCGTCATCCTGATGTAAAACCCGTGTCATAAATCTGAGGAATGTTCACGTGCCAGAGGGACACTCATTAAAAAAAAATGACATAATTGTCACGAGAACGTGTACTTGGACTTCATGCCTTACATAACAAAATAAACAGACTCAACAATCATTGGCCAAAGAGGCATTGTCTGAATATCATGTTGACATTGAACTGTATGCGATGAGAGACATGCTCAATTGCTAACCACTCGGCGACCATGACGCCAATTTGTCTTGTCTAGTTAACAGATTCTCACAAACCACATTCTATCACAAGGAGCGCTACTATGAGCAAGAGCTCTAGAAAATGGCACTTAAGCAACAACCGCGAGCAATAATCCAACAATAAGCAGTCAACGTCAGAGCCCTTAAATACACGGCCGCTTGATTGCTTGACAAGACACAGGTGCACCGCTGAAGGGTCACACCCAACACTCCAGCTGGTACTGAAACGTAAACAAAAATTAAGCAGGGCTAAGCATGACATGCTCTTCTTGATGCGGCCTTGACTGTTTGTGACTATGATACACTTTCTCTCATGGCCGGTTGTTTTTATTCCTTTTGTCCCAGACATTTTATCTGATCTCATTCCTACTGGTGGCAGTGTACGCATGGAAGTCCAAAAACTCCATTAAAGGGTGGCGAGCCACGCCCGCTGAGGACGAGCGGAGGCGGGTGAGACATCAACCCTCACTTGTTGACCTCATTTTAAATAAGACAAATAAATAATATAAAAATGATTTTTGTGTTACAGAGTCACTTCGGAAGTAGGCTATTTTCTTTACCAGTGTACATGTACGTATGGTAAGTGTCAGTTTTGAATCCTTTTTCATCCGGAGAGTAAATAATGTGGCTAACGCCAAGAAATTCTTTATCAGGTTGCTCCCTGCTGTCGTTTACTTGGCATACGTGCTAACTCCCTTCATCAAATCTACTCCATTGATTCCTGACACCCGAAGCGTCACCACCCAGGACCATGCTAAATACTGCACCAGGTCAGCACCGCACTTTGAATATTCAATGGAAAAGATGTGGCAATGTTTTCTGACCCCTTTCGTTGTCTCTTTTTATCCGTAGTTGCATTTTGTTCTTGCACATCTGGTGTGATTCCTGCTCAGATGCTGTGAGTGACAAAATATTGCTTCTTTTGTTTGGTGTGACATCCAAGGATTCTAGAGTGAAATATAGTTTTAAACCATGGTACACACATTTTCTAAACTATGTTATTATTATACTATTACTGTATTATATATTATTACAGTAATCCCTCGTTTATCGCGGTTCATGGGGACCAAAACCACCTGTGATAAACGAAAATCCGTGAAGTAGCGTCCAATTAACATAAACAGGTAAAAAAAAAAGTTATTTTTCAAGTCCGCAAACGGTCCGCGAGAAGCTGCAAAACAACAGCGAGTCACATAAAGCAACATATACAGTACTGTACTCCATGTATATTAAAAAAATAAGAATCATTTTATTTCTTTTTTTATTTATTTTTTTTATATGTTTGAAAAAATCCGCCATGCACTGAACCCGCGATAAACGAAACGCGAAGTAGCGAGGGATCACTGTATACGAATAACATACTATTATTATTATTATTATCATTATTATGTAGGCCTACCTTGAAAAACACAGGCACATCAAAATTTCAGTATTCTACCTTGGTAGATAAGAACGGATCGGGCACTATATAAATATTCTGGACATCATGTGAAAACAGTGAATATGAAAAGCAGACATCTACACAGCATTTAGATCGATTTTTTTTTCAAATTTCACCAATACATGTCGCTCTTGTCCAATGAACCTCCCAACTTTGCCTCGTAACATCCCATTTAATTTTCCTGTGGTAATCATTGTGCAGTTCACAGTTTTTCTACAACAGCGTTTCAGGTTGTTTTTGTCGAGCTTGTATGACGCAAATGCCACGAGCATTTCTTGAAGTACAGCAGGTTTTTGGTCGGGAACTCGGGAATGTAAGAAAGAAGGTTAGCGGGGCACCAAAACTAGACCGATGAGAGCCCGCACAGAAGATAAATTTGTTTTTGCATAAATAAGCCCGTGTTATTTTCGTATTACGTATATTTATTTAAAAAAAACTTAACAAACCTTGATTATCAACATTATATACTGTTATTATTATAATTCATATTATTATGACTTTTTTACTAGCCTGATTATTTTATGTTGCCCAGCCAGGCTGTTGGTGCCCTACAGGCTGTCCGTGATTAACGTATGCCAAGGCACGGCGCCTGAATAACGACATTCCTGATGCTGCACTTGTGTCATGATTGCATTTTATTATGATCACTATTCTTCCATGTAAGCAATTGATTAGTTTTTTTTTTCTTCCCAGGAGATAATCCATGACACTTTTATGCGAGTCTTTGTATTCCTGGTGGTGATTCCTGTGATGCTGTCATGCTGTGTAAGTCGCCACCAGCATAATGTGTTTTCAGACATTAAAAAAAATATATTTTGACAGTTTGGTATTGTTTTGAATGAAAGGTTATTTACCATAAGGTGGGAAGATGGTATGAAGAGCACAAACAGGAGGCTCTTTTCCCAGTTGAAGGAGACGGACTTTCCGTCAGGAGATTGAAAAGTGTCTTTGCCACAGCCAGGAACATGCTCATAGTCATCTTGTTCTGTTGGGCCCCAGGTAAACATGCACACACACACACACACACACACGCACACACACGCACACACACGCACACACACGCACACACACGCACACACACACACACACACACACACACACACACACACACACACACACACACGCACATGGTGTATGATGTTTGAAATAAAGTTCACCTCGAAATAACCCTGTTTGGTCATTTGACCAGCATTCCAAGATTAACGTGTCATCATGTGTTGCCATCACCGATTTCTTCACCAGTAAAGGTTCTTTTTGGGCCCTTTTGGAGGCACACCAGGATTTATGGCTTCATCAGATTTTTTTTCTTATGTGTGTGCCTAGTCTTAGTTGCGCTTACACAGGGTCTTATCGTGACGTATACTACAACGTGAGTAGATCTAATGATTTGGAGCTTTGTAATGGCATTCAGGGCCAACATAGTACCTGAATAATCTCAATAATTTTGAGTCAGTTGATTTCTGTCAATAAAATGCGCAAGATAAGCTCTTGCACTTAAAGTTGGATTGCTGTTCAGCATATTAGTGCCGTCCTTGACTGGTAATATTTATGCACGAGAGCCTTTTGCACTGGGAAAAAAAAAATCTACAGTATGTGGTTATTATTATTATCTTTTTGATAGATGGGATCTTTTATAGATTGAGCATGAAATATATGATGATTCTGTGATGCACATTAGTTTAATAAAAAGACATATGCACATATTTTGTCCATGCATAAAATTGCATTTTTGTTCTACATCTGGTTTGGAAGTATGTTGTCCTCTGTGGCCCTGAGTAGCACCGATGAAATATTGTGGCCGCTTCTATCATTTAATTTGTCCATTCTTGATTAAAGGTTTGGCTCGGAAGAACTCAAGTCATGCCATGTCACTTATGACATGACTGCTCTCAATTCGGCATTACACCTCACGATAATAATTGGTGCTAGCCTCACCCAGACCAGTTTTGTAATAGTAATGTGCAAAAATAATTTGTATTGCCAAAAACAAGAATAAAGTGTAACAACAGATGAAATCCCTTGCATGTGTGCAAAGAACTTGAGGCCTACAAAATATAGTAACAAGTGAAGAAGAAAATAGAGAAATAAAGAAACTACTGACATGATGATGAAAGAGAACAGAGGGGCCAGAAATAAAATGACAAAAATGGTTTGGAAAAAAAAAAAATCTCATTGCGGTTTAATAATGATTTGTTAAAATTAAAATTCTCAACATGCCAGTAAAAAAACAATAAATCAAAAGAATAAAGAATGGGACAAAGAAAGGAAAATGAAGAAAAGGCAATAAACAAACGTTTTTAAAAATTCTAAAGAATAAAGAAGGAAACAAAAAAACGGAAAAAGAAAAAAAGACACTAAACAGAAACTATCCATCCATCCATTTTTTTGATCTGCTTTATCCTCACAAGCGTCACGGGGGGTGCTTGAGCCTATCCTAGCCGTCTTCGGGCAGTCGTCGGGGGAAACCCTGAACCGGTTGCCAGCCAATCGCAGGGCACATAGAGACGAACAACCATCTGCTACCTCGAGTCTATTATTTAGTTGAGCGTGCTTACTAGTTATTGCCACGGACCGGTTTTGTGACTCAGGACCACATTCTGTCCTGAATGAGAAAGGAAATGAAGCTATTAAAAAATGTCTCCAATTGTTTCCAGCCCTGCTCATCATTTTGGTGTCAACTTTGATGGTGTGGCCTGGTGTTGAACAGCGGAACCTGTTTGCGGCCTACTTGATACAGGTGTGTTTTTTAATTGAGCGGCACATACAAGTTTTCCCTGGTGGTTTGGCTTGTTTCTTGAAATAGAAATTACATTGACATGACCTGAGCGACATTACAGCTCCCGAGCAAAACTGTTTACACATGCTTCCACACGAGATTCCTTTCCCAGCCAGGAAAGACTCTCACCCTATTTCTAAGAGAGAACGCGGACACCTTGAGGAGGAAATTCATTTTGACCGCTTGAATCTGGGATTTCGTTCTTTGGATCACGACCCACAACTCATGACCATAGGTGAGAGTAGGAACGTAGTTCAGTTCCTTCTTCGCACCCGACATACCGAGACAAAGTGCTTTAAGTGGACCGGTATGCACGAGTATGGAGTACCATCACAGCAGATGCTGCCCAATCCACCTGTCGATCTTCTGCTCCATCCTGCTATCACATCATCTGCAAAAAGCAGAGATGCAATAATGAAGGCATGAAAACGGACCCCCTCAATTCCTCGGCTATGCCTAGAATTTCTGCCCATAAAAGCTATGAACACTGGTGACAAAGGGCAACCTTGGCGAAGTCCAACCCTCACTGGAAATGAATCCGACTTACTGCTGCCAATGCGAACCAAACTCTGACATCAGTAGTATAGCCACGCAATGTTGTAGAGGCGTATCAACCAGGATATCCCTGCAACATCCTTAGCTTTTAGGAACTCTCGGGCGATGGCATCCACCCTGAGGCTCTGCCACTGAGGTTTTTAACCACCCCGGTGACTTCAACCACTGAGATAGGAGAGCCCACCCCAGTCCCCAGTGTCTCCAGACTCTTCTTCCTCAAAGGAAGGCATTTCAGGGGAATTGAGGATGTCTTCGAAATATTCTCCCTACTGATTCACGACGTTCCAAGTTCAGGTCAGCAGCGCACCATCTTCACAAACACAGTGTTAATGGTGCACTGCTTCCCCCACACTGAGACACGGGATGGTAGACAAGAATTTCCTCAACGCTGTCATTTTCCATGGCCTCCCCGAACTCTTCTATGCCCAGATTTTTGCCTTGGCAACCGCCAAAGCTGTGTTTCACTTGGCCAGCCGGTAGCCATCAACTGTCTCCAAAGTTCCAGAGGGCGAAAAGGCCTGGTAGGCTACTTGCTGCACTGAGACACTTGAGAAATGTACACACATTAACAATTTGATGAAATCAATAAGAAATGAAATTCTGTTGTGAACGATTGAAAGGCGGTTTGGGGATTTGTCCATGTGATTTTGAGAGTGTCATTTCTCTGTCAAGAAATGAGCCAATTCATCCACACATCTTTTATCTGATACGTTTTTCCTCACGAGGGTCGCGGGCATGCTGCAGCCTATCCCTGCTGTCCTCGTGCAGAGGAAAGAGTGAATTCAAGGCAAAGTTTTCTGTTCATTTCAGGCTGCCAGTGTGTCCTTGCAAGGCTTTCTCAACAGTTTGGTGTACGCATGGGGACGTCCCAACTTTACCCGGGCCGTGCTCGGGGAAAGCACACCCCTGATTGCATATAGACACATGGCCTTCTTTGACGAGTCACTGAAGAATGACATCAGGCAAGAAAATAAGACTTTCTTGTAATATGATGGAACTCAGGCTGGAAGGAAGAGAAGAGCAGGTGGAGGATGAACAAAGACTGGTGCAATGTTGTCTCACTGAAACTGCTGAGCTGCAGTGCGGCTGAAACAAACTCTTATTTATATTCATGCGTGCAAAAATGAAATAATAAAAAAATATACCGTGGTTCCTTCAAGCTCACCAACTTACCAGTTTTTCCAGTTTGAGCTGAAAGAGAGCAAGCTTCGAAAAGCTGTTCTTTTTGAGAATCGCTTCCCAGTAAATTCAGGAATTGTATACACACACACACACACACACACACACATATATATATATATATATATATATTTTTTTTTTTTTTTTAAATACAAAGACAATTAGACTTTAGTATTGCATAAGCATAAATTAGTGCTACATTGTAGTACGTTCATACGTGTATGAATTCAAAGTTCCGAAAATACCGTTTGTCCTTTATTAGTTCCCAAGTTGGATATTCAAGAACTCATTTTGGTTCAAAATGAAATTGGAATGAATGAAAATGAGAGACAGAACAGTGTTGATGAAGGTTGCGGGCGGGATCCCATCTGATGTGTTGTATAAATACGACACGTTACGCAGCCAACCACAAGACTGCCAACGTATTGAAGACAGGAGTCCTCATCTTTGGCAAGGTCCTGTAACTTTTCCATTTCTTCTGACTTTTTCAGCTTGTATTGCATTTTTATTTTATAAGGTGAGATGTACCGTAAATGTAATACTAATTAATATTTATTGTCAGAAATATGAAGCATTTTTCTTTTGTTGCACAGATGGCATTTGCTCTTCGCTTGTTGTTCCTCGTCTGTGGGATCAGTGGACTGTTGACTGGAGTTGTAAGTCAAAACCTCACTCACTGACTTAAATTAACATTACATGAATTACGAGAGTTTTTGATGTTTTGTAGGGTTACAACTAATAATTTTAATAATTGATGAATCTATCGATTATGTTGTCAATTGAAAGTTAAATTGGATTTTTTTGTAACATGCTTTACGTTACATCCGTTTATTTAAAAGCAGGACATGATGTCAAATTGACAGAGCATAAAATAATCAAACACAATTATGATTCCGTTGCTGGTTCAGACCTAAACATGTCAGATAGTTGGAAAAAAATCGCTCATCCATCCATTGATCGATCCATCCATTTTCTTGACCATTTATTCTCAGTCGGGTGTGCCATACCCTATCACAGCTTTCTTTGGACATTAAGCGTCACCCTGAACTGGTTGCCCGCTAATCGCAGTGAAAAACCATTCACACTCACAATTACACGTAGGTACAATCAAGAGTGTTCAATTCCCCAACCATGGAAACAATGTTGATGATTGTTTTCCAAAATAAAACAGTTTACAAATTTGTCATTTTGAAAAAAAATACAAAGATAATCAATGTGCTTTTAGGGAGAAATCTGAGAAAATATACTGAGAGGCTGGACCTCTGAGTATTTGGACAATTTTAAATCAAACGAAATCTTGAAATGGTGATTATAAGTGATTATGAAAATATCCATCCATCCATTTTCTCATCTGGGGGACACCCAGAACTGGTTGCCAGCTAATCGCAGGGCACACAGCAACCAACCACCATCACATACAACACTCACACCTAGGGACAATTTAGAGTGTTCCATTAACCTGCCGTGCATGTTTTGGGAATGTGGGAGGAAACTGGAGTACCCTGGGAAAACCCTCGCGGGCCCAGAGAGAGCGTACCAACTCCACACAGGAAGGCCGGAAGCCGAACTCGAACTCTGAAACTCTGTACTGTGAGGCAGACGAGCTAACCACCCACTGCCGTGCCTTCTTATCAAAATATTTTTTGATTAATTTGACAAAAATAATCATAATAACACATTTTTTTGTAAGCGCCTTAAGACTTGTTGATTAATCGATTAATCAACGTATCACTGATATTAGTGTCTTCATTTGTGTCACTTTCGTACAGTCTGATTTTTTTGTGTGTGCATTTTCTTCTTCACAGTGGTCTTTTAAAAAGATTGACTTCAAAGGTTGGTAGGCCTCACTCACATTTTTTCCAAATGAAGAACTTCTCAGTTTTGATTGACGCAGATTGTTTTCTTCCTCAAACAACAATTGTGTTGCAGATAATAACTGTCCCAAAGGGTGGACCCGGTTGGACTGTAACTGTTACATCTACCAAGATGATCCGAGGACCTTTGCAGATGCTGAGGTATGGAAATCAATACGTGTGATGTCGTTCCCAACCAATTTATTGCTATACCAATGAGTGACCCATCTGGGTGTTGCTTTGACTGGTCCTACCTCAATTTATGTGGCCAAATGTCTGGCGAATTTGAATAAGTGAAATCAACATACCACTCTTTTTCCATCAGAGCGTCTGCAACATTCTCGAAGCGAATCTTGTTTCCATCCACAACGACCTGGAAAATGCGTTTGTCGTCCAACTGGCTCGAGCGGGTGGTAATGATGACCTAACCTGGATTGGATTCACTGATGCAATTGAGGTGAAACATTGACCCGACACAAATGTTCTGATTGAATCCTGTCACTTGTGTTCAGTCGAGTTTTTTTTTTTTGCCACCAATGTCTCATGACAAAAAAAAAACAAACAAATGCAAAGTTGTCGTGGTCTTTAATATCAGTGACTTTGCATTCCAGGAAGATGATTTCATCTGGACTGATGGCACGGAACAGGATTTCTTTAACTTTGATCAAACTCCAAGTCCCGCAGAGCCTGATGGCACCGGGGACTGTGTTGTCCTTGCTGAGGATGGTCAGTAAAATTCTTGATTCATCTTTGCTAACAATCTCATGCTGTTAAACGTCAACCTTAAATTCTTTCAGATGGCTTTTGGCAGGATCAATCATGCACAGATCCGGAACCATATGTTTGCATCAAAGAGGTGTCCCACTAAGCATTTCTCTTACTGTATCTTCCTGCTTCCTGTCACAGTAGAATTTACTGGTCATGATGAATCAGTGAAATTTTGTGAATTGGTGACTCATTCTCTGGGTTTACTATCAACTTTGCTTGTTTTTCAACAATGCTCAATTATTATTGACAGCAAATTTGTAATGTCAAAAGAGCTGTTCTCCGATAAATGAAGGAATCTGTCAGCATTAAAAAAAAAAAAAAAAAAAAATTATGTGTCTTTTTTTTCTACACCCCTTTTCAAACTCCAGTCTATTGCTGGAAATGTATATGTTAAAAATCATGATAATCAGAGATGGGGAAATCCATTTTATTTTCTGGACCTGGATCCCTGACCTCTGATTATAATGGTGACTATGTAACAACAATGCATGGTCACCCAATACCACAAGTCCAACCACTATTAAATGCTATTCAACAGTTGATAAGAATTGACAGTTCAGAATCAGAATCATCTTCATTGGCCAAGTATGTGGAACACAGAAGGAATTTGTCTCCGGTAGTACAGGCTCCACTTGTATAATCGAAAACAGGCAAATACGACAAACATGGGCATGACAAATAAGTGGTCGTACCACCCAATGAGAGCTGTGAGACAATGTGCCAAGTATCAAGCAGAGCTAAAGTAATCAGTGGTAGAATATAATACCATGACAGTTGTGCAGTTGGTGCAGATAATCGTTGCACCATTTGTAAAGTGACCAGTGGCAGTATTTGTAGAACAGCTTGAAGTGTGCGATTGTACAGAAAGTCCTTGAGTGCTTTAACATGGAGACTGCGAAAAATGTGTACGAATGCAAGCAAGGAACCTTTTGTACATTGGGGCAAAACAAAAAAGGTTGTAGTGCAGTAATGAAATAAAAGAGGTCATGATGTAACTGCCAAAATCCGCAAATAAAATGGCAACAATAACAATTCAATGCGCAAAACCACCACGAACAACAACAATGACCATCCGAAGTAATTCCAATCATAAAGATGGTGTTGTGGTGCGTTCGCCTGACTTTGGTGAAGGCAGCGTGTTGCCAGTCAGTGACAGTGTGAATGTCAGGTTTGCGCAGAAGTGTCAGTTTTGCGTATCAGCTCGTTGTTAGGGAACACAAAGTTGTGCAAAAAGTAATGAAATATGGAACAATTGATCCAGTGGTTGTTTTAGAACAATTTTACAATGGGGGGCTTGGCTGGGGTGAACGATTTTGTCGGAGGCGAATCTAAATCAGTGTTTCTTAACCTTGTTAGAGGTTTTGCTGGTGCAACAAATCATGCAGATAGGACGCTGAATCCCATCACGTTCTCTGATGCATGTGAATCCATGCTGTAAATATTTGTCTGGCCGCTTTTTTTTTTTTTTTTTGCTCAACATAGTCAGTATATATTAAAACATTCTAAAAAAGTCACACGACGTACTATCACGAAAGTCACACGCTGACGACTGAGCGAACTAAATTTCCCACAGCACTGATTGGATGTCATGTGATCATCTGCAGCCAGTGATGGCATGCACTCTAATTATGTGGAAGAGCAAGTTAATCGTTCATGCCTCAGTGCAATCTCAGCCACGAGCATGTCCTCAGGAGACTTTCTCAACAGTTGGCTGTATGGGTGGGGATGCCCCAAATGGTTGTGCTGGGGGAGAGCACGCCCAAGGTGGCATACACAGACCTGACCTTTGACGAGTTGTTAAAGAGCAACATCAGGCCTGAAAATGTGGCATTATTCTAATAAGATGGAATCAAGGAAAGGAGAGAGACAAGATCAGACGGAGGCGGTAAAAAGACTGATGCCGCGTTGTCTTGTGCAAACTGTTGAGACAGAGTATAGTCTGATTAAGCTTTTAAGTATATGGGGATTTAAAGCCACATTGCAAAGCCACATTGCTGCTGTCAGCAAGCCGACTCTCGCTCCTAATGTCGCTCAATTTGGTCAGGCCCTTGAGTGGCACAGATGCGACACGTGAATCCTACAGTCGATACAGTGATTACAATTGAGAATGTTTACGTTGTCTTTTATGATGTTTTTGTACAATGTGCTAATATCGCTCTCCAAAAACACAAAAGATGTGGTGTTTTATTTGGGCGGTGGAATGACTTAATTGCATAAATTCAAGTCACGGTACTAAACATACAATGAGAATAAAGTTCAAATAAATTAGTAAAAACAAAGTTAAAGTGTGTGTGTGTGTGTGTGTGTGTGTGTGTGTGTGTGTGTGTGTGTGTGTGTGTGTGTGTGTGTGTGTGTGTGTGTGTGTGTGTGTGCACGCGCATGCGTTCAACCTTTTTCTGGGCAATTGCTGCAGGGCAGAGCATCCTGTGACACACCTGTTGGCTGTGATAATCAGTAAGGTATTGAGGTGCAGCAGAAGCAGAAGGATGATCTGTTCTGTTCTGTTGTGTTGCACGCTCATTTACTATAATCTGTTGTCTCTTGTTATTCTGTTTAATCCTTTTTGAACTTGCTTTTTTTGTGTGCGTTTTTTTTAATGTAAGTCCTTTTACCTTGTACCTGTTTTTTAATTTCTCACATAATCTTGTCAATTTTAGATTCAGTTTTGTTTGATCTGTCCTTTGATTTAGTTCTAGTTTTCAAAGAATTGGTTTCACATCAACATTTCTTTCGTTTGTACGAACTGTATACCTGCATGTAAATCTTTCTCAATTGTGGTGAATCAGCCCTTGGGCTCCTCAATTATCATTGACTGGTGTTCACACAATTGATAAATATTCCAACAACAACAAAAACATCATTTTTGGAAATGCAAAATGTTGACGGGGTTGTGGATCCTTAACTCTGTGCCTGCCCACCCACCAATGTCGATACTAAACAATGCTTTTGTGTGGTTTGTGTTATTATCTCATTGCCATGTGTCGAACGCACGCTGATGACATAGCCTGGCATGATATTAAGACAATTAAAACAGTGAATGAATATCATGAATAAATAATTATCGTGAAGCAATTTAGACAACTGTGTGTGTGCCCGTGCTTGCGTGCTCACGTGTTTAATGATCCTTAGACCACAGATATGGCTCGTCCAGGAGGTCACAAAGGAATCCGGAACAACATCGGCCAAAGTACCAATCAATGAATGAATCAGTTAATCAAACAAACTTTTCATACATAAAACTGTAATTTAAAGTGTGCCACACAAATAACACCCCCAACACACACACACACACACACACACACACCCACACACCCACACACCCACACACACACCCACACACACACACACACACACACACACACAGTTATAGGGGGAATGAAAGCAGTGTCATGTGACTTGTTTCACTTTGCGTTCGTGTGCAGGTGTTCATTGACCAAACAAACAAAAACAAAGCAGAGCTAAACATGACTTGCTCATCTTTTCTTCTTGATGCACCCTTGGCTGTTGATAACTCTGATACATCTTCTCTCATGGCCGGTTGTTTTTATCCCTTTTGTCCCAAACATTTTATCTGATCTCATTCCCACTGGTGGCAGTGTATGCACGGAAGTCCAAAAACTCCATCAAAGGATGGCGAGCCGCGTCTGCTGAGGACGAGGGGAGGCGGGTGAGACATCAACCCTCACATGTTGACCTCACTGTAAATAAGACAAATTAATAATATACAAAGTAGTTTTGTGTCACAGAGTCACTTCGGAAGTAGACTGTTTTCTTTACCAGTGTACATGTACGTATGGTAAGTGTCTGTTTTGAATCCTTTTTCATCTTTGGAGAGTAAATGATGTGGCTAACGCCAAGAAACTCTTTATCAGGTTGTTCCCTGCTGCCGTTTACTTGGCCTACGTGCTAACTCCCTTCATCAAATCCACTCCATTGATTCCCAACACCGGAAGTGTCACTACCCAGGACCATGCCAAAGACTGCACCAGGTCAGCACCGCACTTCAACAGAAAAGATGTGACAATGTTTTCTGATGCCTTTTGTTGTCTCTTTTCATCCTTAGTTCTATTTTGTTCTTGCACATCTCGTGTGATTCCTGCTCAGATGCTGTGAGTGTCAAAACATTGCTTCTTTTATTTGGTGCTACTGAGTTAAATCGATATTTGAGTGACGAATCTCAACTTTGCAAGATCTGAACCAGACCAAATGTTTCACTTGGCAACATAAAATTCGGTTGCCACGCCTGTCATTCGTAGACTCTAAGTGTCTCAGGAAGGGATCCCCAATAACACACCGATAGTCTGCCATTTTGGCTTGAATTAGCCATTTCGCAATCCTTTGGTTCATTTCTAGGAACTTGTTATGGTCAGGAGACTGAAAACTTTATGCACATACACAAAAATATCTCAGGAAGCAATGCCTGAGAAGAGATAGGAAGCCTGCCGTTTTTTGTCAACGTAGCCACTTTATGCCCATCATCCAGCCCCAAAAGATGAACATGTCAGAAAGGTTTTTTGTCTGTGACCCTTCAGGCCCGAAGTGCAAATGTTACACATAGCAACATGAAATTTGTCTCTCATGAGAACTGCGAATGGCTGGTAACCATTTCAGGGAACAGAATCAGAATCCGAATCTAAATCAGGATGTGCGTTCAAATACTCAAATAATAATAAAGAATTTACCATTTTAAAAAAGCAACTATTGTGAACAAACAAATGTGTTTGTGTCATGGGAATTTGACTTCTAACAGGGCAAAAATAAGTAACTGTTCGTACCTGTGAATGCTGACCAATTATTTTGTGGATAAGCAAGCTGTTACTCTTGTGTAGCTGCTCAAAATGCTAATTGCGCTGACCATCACCACCTCCCAACAAGATTAAATGAGAGCCCAAGACGTGGAGGGGGAGAAGGCTCCCTTGACAGATCTGTCCCTTTTTTTTCTTTTCTTTTTCTTTCTGAAATAAATCTCATCATTTTTAATAAAGACCTTCGTTATCTTGGTTTCCTTGGACAAGACAGTTGATCATCTGAAACTTTCACTTGGCCTAGAGTTCCTCCTTGAACATATTGAAGCATTGATCATGTTTTCAGAAATACAAGACAAAATATCCAAGGATTCATCCAGAGTCAAATATAGTTTTAAAGCGTGGTACACACCTTTTCTAAACTATCTTATTATGGAGGCCTGTATTTAAAACACAGGTAGATCAAAATTTTAAGATTCTACCTTGATAGACAAGGACGGATAGGGTACTGTATAAATATTCTGGACATCATGTGAAAACAGTGAATATGAAAAGCAGACATCGACACAGCGTTAGATCGATTATTTAAGTCTTACCAATAGATGTCGCTCTTTCCCCATGAACCTCCCGAAAATAGTCATAGTCGTTGCTTAAGAAACAACTTTGCCTCGGATCATTCCATTTAATTTTCCAAGATTAATCAATGTGCATGTCATAGTTTTTCCACAGCAGCGTTTCGGTGGGTTTTGTCGAGCATGCATAATGCAATTGCCACTCGCATTTCTGAAGGTTTTTGTTGGGTTACTTGGGAACGTAAGAGAGAAGTTGAGCGGGGCATCAAAACTAGCCGGACGAAAGACCGCACAGGAGATGAATTTGTTTTCACATACACAAACTGTATTTTTGTGTTACACATATTTATGACGCATATTTATGAAAAACTTTATAAACCTTTATTGTCAATATTATCTACTGTTATGATTATAATTCCTATTTTTATTACTTTTTTTACGAGCTTGATTATTTTTGGTTGCCCAGCCAGGCTGTTGGTGCCCTCCGCGCAGTCCTTGATGAGCGTGTGCCGAGGCACGGCACCTGGATAACGACATTCCTGATACTGCAATTGTGTCATGATTGCATTTTTTATGATCACTGTTCTTCCAGGCAAGCAATTTGTTTGTTTTTTTCTTCCCAGGAGATAATCCATGACACTTTTATGCGAGTCTTTGTATTCGTGTGATGCTGTCATGCTGTG